CACGACCGGTTGGGTTATAATTTTTCTCTTCGTCGTAGACTAGCAGTGTATAAACATTTTTACCAAACAAACGGCTGACCAGCAATATTTTTGAAATGACAGCGAAATATTATTTTTGATTAAAGAGCTAATACATAAATAACAAAACAATATCGTTCAAGTCCTGTATATTGACAAAAATCTGTACGGTGGCCGACCACTGCGGTCAAAGAATCAACAAAATATGTCGCTCATAAATTCAAATTTACTGGCTGGCAGAGCTTGTTTAACACGAAAAACATCCATTCGTAATCTGTATACAATGCCATTGAATGACAAATTATAAATTATCTGGATATAAATAAAAATATATTTAATTTATGAGATAAACAGATATTTGCTTCAGAATGAAATGAATATTTATTACTTTATTAGTACGACAAAAGTAGTAGTGTTATAAATAATTAAAGTAAATCATTAAATTACCTACATGTGTTTTTCCCAAACATAATAAAGCACTCAAAACATAATTTTATGGTCCTTAGATTACAGCCACTAAATCAAATATTTAATTTATTGATCATATACTTGAATTTTTTGGTAGATTTCAACATTTACTGGACACAACGTTTTTTGCCAATTATTGATAGTGAAGTTTATGAACGCACAAGCCTATAGCACCACCAGAACCTTAGATTTATAAAATCATTGAGCAAATATCAAAAATTACTCAGCAAATCACATCATCGTGACTAAAAAAAACTTGTGGGTCACCTCTAAGAAGAGTATTTGAACAACCTTAGCACCCAGTATCGACTTGGACTACGTTAAGAAGTCAATTCTTTAAGTACGTCCTAATAACGCACGAGTAGGTTTAATTTTTTTTTTTTTTTCATAACTTTTTATTCCCCAGTCGCTTAATAACACTGCTAGGATTACACTGATCGTTTTATTTTTTCAGAGTGTCTGTAAAGCTGACGTCCTCCAGCAATGTATTAACACATCGCGTGTACCTGCGTTAACTAATGACGTTTAATAAGAGAGCACTTTGTCGGGTGATCCGCGATGAGTTATTGTCGACAATTATACCATTTGAACATTATGACTGTGTTTCAAGTCGAATGCATCGGGAAATTAATTATAAAATGCTGTCGGTCGTTTCCGCGATGACGTTTACGAATACAACAAACATAATGATATTCTCAACTGGTTCCAACAAAACAGTCGTACGACCGTTGATATAATATATTATTTTGACACTGCCGAGTCTCCGACGACTTTCGGCCTTACTCGGTACAATGAGATCATTTTAAAAACGCATTTATAACGACTTTGTTCGGCATCATTGATCGTTACGATTTTTCATAAACGTCCACCAGACCAGTCGTGTTCACCGGAGCTGAAAATGAAAAGAACATAAGTGTCGACGCTCGCACATACATATCTATTATTCTCTATTTTGGCGCACCCCAGTCAACGGTGCACGGCGGCGCACACGGGGGGGGCAAGCTGCCCAGGATTGTGGCACTTTGGGATATGTAAAAACGCATATAAATCAACGATTCCTCCACTCCGTTGAGATTGTACGCAATGCGCCATGTTAATAATATGTAAAATAATAAATAAGGCGAAAGGGAAGTAGCGAAGAAAAGGATAACTGGGGTAGGTATATGAAGCGAATAATGGGATCACCTTGTAATACATACCCGGACGTTTTGAATGTAATTTGACATAAAAATATTTGTTGGTTCCATACTACAATAATGATATTCCACGACCGTATGTCAACCGATTTCAATAGTCGGCATTTTATCGAAGGAACACATTACGTTCGAACGACCCGGGGCCAATTATCGCACAAAGGTTAAACGACCTATTGTTGAGGTCAGCGAACAGTTGCGAAATGGATACACCCGCCGTTTTTGTGGCATTTTACCCCAAATCTGCAAAAACATAAAATGTCATATCGATGTACTATGTGAATAGAATTGATGTAATTGTTTGATTTTAGAAAGTATTCCACTAAACCACAACTAAGAAAAAAATACCTGCTATTTATTATTTTAGACATCCTTATTTAAGTTTACCAAATATTTACTTTCTTAATACTTTATTAAAATATATTGGTTTGTAGTGTAGTCTATTTATTAAAGCAATCTTCGTGTACACCACTTTACTAATAATTGTCAATTAAATCGATAATTCTGCGTAGATTGTAGAAAATTTCTTAAATAATATGAAAAAAAAAACGGTTTTAATCAAATTTTATATTTAATTATCCTAAGAAATAATATAAGACAATTTCACTCTAAAAACTTTTGAAATTTAGTGTTTCTAAATAATGTTACTTAAGTCTTTAAAATTTAACAACGTTATCAGGCAAACTGGAAGGTTACAGCAAAAACCTTTGAGATAACAAAAAATAACACATTAAATTTAATAAAACAACATCTGAAATTTTTATTTAAAGTAAAAATAAATTTTAACAAATAAATAGATACTAATAATTTTTATTTTAAATAAATGTTATTTAAAAAAATCATTTATTTACAACTGAAATTTTTTATCATAGCGTTGGATTAAGTTTAAAAGTTATGCCACTATTTCTCTATGGGCTAATTTCATAATATTTCTTGAAGAAAATAATTGAGTGAGGTGATTTTTCCACTAAATACAAATTCATGTGTCTTAAATGTGATATATTATGACTTACTTTCGAATTTTATATGTGATTGATTTATTATAATTGTACAACATTTTGATTATGATAAAAAGTTATTTTTGATGCAGTAGGCCTTCATCACACCTAGAAACATAGTATTTGTGATACTTAATAAAACAGGCAATGCTATTAATTTATCCATGAACTCTTGAAACATAATCAAATTATAATTTTTTTATAAATTCTATTCGCTGATACGATGTTTTGAAGTCAATTGAATACAAAAAGAATAGTGAGGTTACCCCAACTGATTATACATTTTGGGTACAAAGCCCTCATAAGAAAATTGTTAACTTACGATTTACAAACCTATAAAATATGTACAAAATCATTAAATATACTATGGAGGTGTAATTTTTTTTTAATTTATGAACACGATATAAATAAAACATATAAGTAAAAAATTATTGAAAATAAACATTTATATCAACATTAACAAATTTATAGGCAAGCATTTAAAAAACCTAAACGTAACTTAAAAGTGGTTTTATAAAGAAGTTACCGATTATAAATAAAAACTTTGAATTATTCTAACATTTTTAACATAATGTGTTATTTTTAAGTGTAGAAGGATAAATTTATATAATAGAACAATTTTAATTAATTAAGACTACTGCAATATTGTAGCTATGGTGTTTCCGTTACTAATAACAAATATTACTAATTAGTGAAACATCAAAGCATTAAAAAAATATAATAAAAACAAAAAAATATAGCTATTAAAAGAATTATTTCCTTACGTATATTTTCTGTACTTAATAACAAGTAAACTTTCTAAAATACTTTTTATAGGGTAATAATATCTGCACAGTGCATTACCCAAAATATGATAGTATACTTTGATTGATCCACTAATACGACACGGTTCAGGCAAACGGGTTTTTTTTCCCTAAGGCGTTATTTGGTTGGTCACGTGTATGGTCGCGTGTGAGTATGCCTAGTTATGTGGGGTGGGTATCCCTTAAGGGAAAAAACCTTCAGATTTGTATCGTATGCAAAATATACATAAGACCCTTTGTTAATACGAACAATATTTTCCTTTTTCAAGGGTTATACCATTAATCCGCACCGATTGCCCAAGCGCCTCATAAATAATGTTTCATAATAGTTTTTATTTTTATTTGTCACCCTACAACTATTAATTGTACACTAATAAAATATTCAATTGTTAAAAATTTTAAATATAAAATCATAGGTGATCTTCTAATATCTCATGCTATGAATTAAAATAGTTATCTCTAAAATTATTTTAAAAACTGTACTATTGAAATCGATTCCATGAAAAATTATTTTTTTATTTAACACATTTTATTAATAGATAATTGGTGAAAACATTTTAAAATATCTCCTCATAAATCACAAAAGATTAGGTGTTTTATAAAAAATAAAATGTCGAAAGGGGATATTAAAAATTGTTTTTTACTGACCTAAACCCTAAAAAAACGGTCTCGATCTGAATAATAAAAAGTGCATTAAAAAACTGCTTAAATCCCTATTTCACCATATTTTTATCCCATAATTTAGTCGAGTTTATTTAAAACTTATGCTTAAATTATTACCAAACAACTAAATACTTATTAACACATTTACTATGTTTATGGTAACCGATTGAACTAAAAGCTTAAATATAATTCAAAATGTTAACTATAGTTTAAAAATCATTGCTAGATCATTTAAATTAATTAAAAATCGATTTTGTAATATTCCCTACAGCACAAACCAAGTTATAGACTATATGATAACAGCTTAATTTTTAATCTCATTTTAAGGCAGAGATCGTTTTAATACAATAATAATACTATAAAACAAAGGCTGGGAAGGACTCCCAAGAGACCTGTAAAAGAGGTGTGCAGTCGTTGTAGAACACAATATAATTCTGAAACGGCCAGAAAGTTAGACACATTTAAATTTCATTTCGACCCGTGATTAAATTAAAACTGAATTAATGAATAGCTGTTTCGAAAGTTTCGAGTATCTTTATTCTGGTTTAATAAAAATTACATTTTAACTTTATTCACTAAAGTTTTAATTTTTGTTAACGTCGTTATAATAAAATTAAAAGCGGCAATAAACTTTTATTTCATTCATCTAAAATAAACCTATTTCTAAGATAATTTAGATAATAATCGAAATTAAAATTTAATGAAACATTTAGCCAAAACTTTTTTTGCCAAAATTATATTTTATTATTACTATTAGGACTAATATACCCAAACATACAGAATTAAAATGTGCTATCTTAATTCAATTAAAACAAACAAATATTGAAAGCTTATTTTGAGAATTCAAATAAACTCTTATTATTATTAATAAAAGGAAATTCTAATATGTTTACATAAATATTTGTATACAATTTTATGTTTAATTCAAAGTACATGCGTATGGAATTTGGATACAGTTCTTGTTTACACCTAATATTGCACAAGCATTACGGAGTATCATTAAAATACATTTTAAATTAAATGAATTTAAATTTGTTTTTTGCCATTAAAAATTTACCAATAATAATTGTCCTTTTTATAGGTTTTAATGTATTAAACATTAATACCGTGTTTTAGAATTATTTATCATATGATAAAGTTATGTGTTGATGGTTGCTAATAATTTTAATAAACAATGTAATTTGAAATCTTAAATGTTCAGATAGTTGTACTGTTTATATGCTTTTATTTTATTATATCGAGAGTTATAATTATAATTTCTTTATGACTATTACAGGTTTATGAAAACATGCCTCAGTCGATTTATGACCAAAGCCCGTCGAATTTAGAACAATTTTTTACATTTATTAAAACAGTGATATGCCCTTGTCTATATTATAGAAAGAAAACCGCTGATATTATGTCAACATATGATTGTAATTATTCAGCTCATAAAATCCAAGTATGTAATTGTTGTAATTCAACGTTGAAACCAAAACAACATTATTCAAATAAAATTCAACCCAATAAAGAGGTTTGTTGCAACAACTCAAAATTAAAACATTCTGAATCACTTTCGTAAGTTTAAATTTTTAAACGAATAAAAGAAATGTTTTTTTCATAGTGTTTTTGTCTTCATAGAGATAAAAAATAATTTTACTGTCCAATTTTAATTATTATCCTGAAACAAAATAATCAATTACTCTTAAAAGACAAACAAAATGTTCATTGTTATTTTAAACAAAACAATTTTCAATGTTTAATTCACCTATCGTATGAAAATTTTATTGTTATGCATAAAATTTCGTTTTTTAGTTGCAATAAAAGAAAAGGCAATCATGTAAAAGTACGGCCAATGTCAAATAATATCTATGCATCGCATAACAATACTTCTCATGTTAAAAGACAACTATGCCAACAATCTTTACCTAGGAGAGATGAATTGTGTAAATGTTGTCATTCCGTAACGAAAAAATCATTTGAATGTCGACCAAACCAAGTTAAGGTTTGCAAAAAAAACATTCCTAAAAAAAAAACATTTTTCGATAAGATTTTCTACGCTGAAAAAACTTGGTAAGAATTTTTATAAATTAATATGCTATGCAAATACTTACTTGTATATATTACAGTTGTAAACGAAATAAAATGACTAATGTTCATTTAATAAATAGACGTCCCATTCGAGTAAATTGTTAAAATTGGTGAGTTTAAATAAAAATATTAAAGTGATCTTAGAAATTATTAAACTAAAATAGACAATTTTAAAAAGATAAATTTAAATCAATATTACCTTTAAAAATGTTTAATGTTTTTTATTTTTAATAGATATCTCTAGTTTAATAACTGCATTAATTATTACTATAAAGTATGCTTTGTTGAGTCCACTTTATATATTTAGAAAATTTTACTTTAACAAACTAAACTTATAATTTTGTTTGATATGAGTATCATACTCATATCAAAATATGAGTATGATGAGTAAAATACGAATATCATATTCGAACAATCAACATTTTCAACAATAAATTAAATTTGAAAAATAAGGTTTTTAATTTTTATTATGAAGAATTAAAAGTTTCATCGATAATCGAAACGAAATGAAAACTTATCATCATTTATGTGAACGAGTGCTGAACTGAATGAAAAGAAAAGTATTGCATACGGTGTTAGAAAAAATAAAAAAAATCCAAAATCTAAATTTGATCGTTTTAAACTTTTTTTATTTAGTAATTATTGTGTGTTTTATTTTAAACAAAACTGTTTTAATAAAAAAAAATTTTAATTTCTCTTTATTTTCAATTATATAATATTACTTATTATTATATGTTAATTTCACAAATGCTTAAAAAGAACAATTTTTTTCATACATTATTATTACATATTAAGTATATATCTACGTCAAAAAATGCATTATTATGTGCTTATTAAAATAAATATAAATTAAGAAGAATTTTTAACTTAGAGGTTTATATTTAAATATATTTTGAATAATAATCCAAAATGTTTATGAAAAAAATACTTACTATGTTTTATAATTTTATGGTACACTATTAGTTAAGCTTTTCTTTCGTTGAACTAATTTATTTACTTTGCATACTAATGAATTTTCACTTTTTAATTCTCATAAGTTTTAATTTTAACTAAAACCCTTTTTTTCTAACAAGTGAATATCATGGTATACTATTGTTATAAATTTTACTATAGTTATCCTTAGGGTGTCGGGAATAACAAGGGGTCCGACGGCAGTCGTTTTGAGGTTAGGAAGGAGTACCATAGAAGCAAATAGGAAGAGGATAGTCTACTCCGTCATTGGCCCGAGAGACTGGTACAATTTATTTAGTAATTATGAGGATGGGTCTCAAGTGGGCCATTCGGTCCAAGTTCGGCGCTGTAGAACCAAGTCATTCCTTCACCCCGTCCCTTTCAGTTGTTCCTGAACTCTCATAATGGAAACTAATAGAATTAACAAACGCTGATGAGACTCCGCCGGGTTAGTTGTCTCTGCTATTTCCTCACTGGCTCTGACTCTTTTTCTCTCGTCTTCTCCATTGCAACAGTAAGGGTAGATTTTACGAGCTAAAGGCTGGAGGGAGTTAGTTTTCCATTATCGAACATAATGGAAAATTAAATTGAGTCGACGAATGCGGAATCAAGATAGCACACTTAGGTACTTAATTATTATCATTCTCGACGATTTGATTTTCGCTTATATAGTTCATCAATAAAACAGAAGAAATTCTTATACTATTTGAATTTCATAAAAAAGTTAAAATTAAATACTATTGAAATATAAAAAAAAATCACTCATTGATGTAATTTTCCCTAAATTATAGCTCATCATCTGTGGTATTATAACGAATAATTTTAACAAAAAATTGTTTAAAATTTTTTTCAATTAAACAGGGTGATCCATTTAACATTGACCAGCAAATATCTCAAAAACTATTTATTATTTTAATAATTTTTTTTTTAAATTATTTTANCATTGATGTAATTTTCCCTAAATTATAGCTCATCATCTGTGGTATTATAACGAATAATTTTAACAAAAAATTTTTTTCAATTAAATTATTCAACAAATTATTTGATATTGTCACATTTAAAATTTGAGTATTTTTATGTCCCACTGTTACAATACTAATAGCTGTACTTCATTTCTTAAGTATTAAGCTATACATTTTATTTTGCTTAAAATTACTCAAATATTTTATGTTAAGATCGTCAATATNTATTAGATAAGATAAGATATTTGCTGGTCAATGTTAAATGGATCACTCTGAATTATTCAACAAATTATTTGATATTGTCACATTTAAAATTTGAGTATTTTTATGTCCCACTGTTACAATACTAATAGTTGTACTTCATTTCTTAAGTATTAAGCTATACATTTTATTTTGCTTAAAATTACTCAAATATTTTATGTTAAGATCGTCAATATTTGTTTCAACATCAATACATAACTAACATTTTTAATTAATTGTATTTCTGATACATATGGTATGATAACATAAACTTATTTAGCATGACTCATACTTTTGTATATTTGGTACAATAGACACAATTAACTAATCGAGCCTTAATAAAAATGTGAACTTTGATCTACTATTTGAAATGAATTACAAGTAACTTTTCAACTTTACGTTGCTATTATAAAAACAAAAATTTATTTTTACATCTTAAAAAATACTATCATCTGTTTATTTTGTCAAATGATTTCAAACATTTTAAATTCAAAAATGTTTTGGATACTTTCATTTTATAGAAATATGACAATATTAAAAATTATACAGCTACAACAACTGCAAATTTTTCAAACTTGTGCAGTATTTTGAATGACCCTCCGCATTTCTTTTTTTATACAGAATTTACTCATAGCAGACATTCGCGTAAAAAATATATCAGATGCNAACGTTGCTATTATAAAAACAAAAATTTATTTTTCCATCTTAAAAAATACTATCATCTGTTTATTTTGTCAAATGATTTCAAACATTTTAAATTCAAAAATGTTTTGGATACTTTCATTTTATAGAAATATGACAATATTAAAAATTATACAGCTACAACAACTGCAAATTTTTCAAACTTGTGCTGTATTTTGAATGACCCTCCGCATTTCTTTTTTTATACAGAATTTACTCATAGCAGACATTCGCGTAAAAAATATATCAGATGCGACAAAAGAAGAGTATTTGTATGATATTACCCTCAAAAAATTACGAATAACTACTTGAGTAGATGAATAATTTGTCATTGATAGGGAGTATTCATTTCAGAATCTCTTTAAGGATGTATACAATTATTAAAATGTGACATCCGGACATCTGCAACTAATAATTGACTAAAAAATACCGACAAGGAAGATGTCTTATTGTCGAACAATTATTTCGTCAGGAAATACCTTTATCGCATTATATTATTCCATGTGCTTCGGTCCACTGAATAGTAAAATCTGTCATGTTGACATTGTCATCATACACGACATGATACCAATTCATATAATACAAAAATATTACGTATAATCGACGTGTAATGTAATAAAGAACGGGAAGCGTAAGTGGTATCTATTTGATAAATTCCGATTAAACGATTTGCTAATATTACTTACACCGCAATGGGTTTTTTAGTTGATAACTAAAAAAGTATTTCAACGTATAACAGGCATCTACAAATGCATTCGATGGTAATATAAAACACAACTAAAATGAGCATTCAAAATATAATAATAAAGAAATCATTCAAAAATATTTTCAAAATTGACAATAATGATTCATAAAGTACTCCGATAAATATTTGTTCAACCGTACAAAACATATAGATAGTGAAAATATCATGAGACACAATTTTTAAAGTAAATTTTCTGCGTACATTTTTTATAAATTTAAAAAATATTGGATAGCTTTAGAGACACAAATTCACAATTGTAATATTTTACTAAACGTTAGTACAAGACTTTAATTTAATAGAGTAAAAACAGTTATAACAAATAAAAAAAATTGAAACTAAATTTGATGACATTTCATATTAAAAAAGTATATCGTGTAATTGATTTTATCTAGTTTATCAGTTATATTGTTGTAGCACATTTCGATTTTACAAAAAAAATATTCGAAATATTATTATTAAATATTTATCTGTTTTAATTATTAAACATTTTTAATTATGGTTTTGTATCATTCACTGCTCATTTGATACAGTTAAAATTTAATTAAATCACTTCTATTTTTACTTTACAAGATTTGAAACGATAATATATCTTTGCTTGAAGTGATCCATCAAAAACTTTCTCCTAGAATTCATAATATATTGTTTACCCTGTAACTGGTGACTTAAGAGAACCGTTTATGGTGCGGTTTGTGTAATACGCTGTAACTGTATACAAACGGGGAGGTTTAATGGCTTTGGAGTGCAAAAGTAATCCGATAATTCAAGCGCGTGCGTTTATTTGATATACGACTATCACCGAATCCTACCTGCTCAAGTTTTGTGTTTACATAAAAACAATAGATTATCCTTACTAAAAGTATAATATTTCAAAAATTCTTTATTAGAGTTACAACAAACCATTAATTGGACGAAATTTAAAAAAAAAAACACCAAATATACGTGGTGAACAAATCAAAATTAGTTTATAAAGTTTTAATATTTCTATTTAAATTATCACCGATTATTGTGTAATATTTAAATAATTATACTATAAATAAAATTAGAAATACTAAATTATTATTTTATAGTGAGTTGTAAATATAGTGATATAACATTTTAAATTCACGGTTCTAATAAACTAACAATAAACAAAACAAAAAAACTACTGAAAAACAATTTTTATTACAATCCATTGTCAATATACTGACTATGCCTTACAGTGGTGTAATTAAATGCCGCAGACAATTTATATTAAAAGTTTTATGAAATCGTGAAATTGATTTGTTAATGAATTAGATGAAGAATAAATAATTTTACTACATTCTATGGCGTAATCAGAAAAAAATAAAACAAATAAAATTCTGTAAAAATAAAAACCATATTTCGACTTAACTGCATTTAACAGATTTCTATCAGCCACCACACGATTTGTTGTCAAACTATATTATTTTTTCCTTGAAAGTTTAATGGAATTTTCGTAGATGATTGGCTGATAATGTTAAGGAAACTTTTCAATCTGTGGTTAACTTTACAATTTCTACACGAAAACATAATCCCTTGGCACATCTTATGTGTCTAGTTGGGAAATGTATATTGGACTGTTTTTATCCTTTTAGATTGTGGTAAATGCGTACAAATGGAATAAACATTGATTCTACTGTAAATTATCCACTTGTTCCACTTAAGAAAATGAAAAATTCGAATATTAAAATTATAAATATATTAAATGACATTAGCTACAAGTGATCAAATTTTATTATACCTAATAACTTCATTCGAAATTTAAAGAATTTATTATAAATAACAACATGTTAGATTTGTTATTTACGTTTAAAACGAGTCAACAATAAAGTGTACAAGAGTTTTCGGTATCATAGCAATTGTTCACAAATTGGAGAGTGTAGAATCCCAAACTGGATATGATATTCAGTATATCTAATAACTGCCTCATTATAAACCTCCTTAAAATCTACCAATGATAGATATATAATTAGATATTATAATTATGTCAAATTTTTCTAATTATCTTTAAGTTGAATTTTTATCTCTGGTTGAATCAATATAAAAATTAAGCTACCAAAGTTTAAAAATGGTGTCTACCAACTAAAGTCTTGCCATATTATAGACACGTTATTCTGTGTCTCGGTTATTTTTCTTTACTATTGCACTGAATTTAAAAAGCATTAAAATAATTTAAAAATAGGTTAAAAATATATTCTCGGTGAATAATTTTGTTACTATAGCACAATCCCTGGCACACCACTACTTAGGAGCAGTAAACGATTGTGAAACATAAATAAACTAAACCGAAAGTGATATACATTGGATGATAATTATTTCATAAATGGATACACAAATCTGTACTAATTATATTTCAAAAACACTACTAAACTAAACATGAACACATATAATTAATCATATAATGGTCTACATTGTTTCATCTTGTGCTCGATTTGATATGTTTCAACTACTTTTATTGTCTATCTAATTTCAATCGTATGTTTCTACACGTGTATATACATGTATAACGCGTAATACGCATGTTCAATAATTAATCATATCACTTGTTTTACACTTAGATACATTTTGTTTTCACACGTTAACTAACGACTTTATTCACAGATAAGATAAATTATGGTGTAATAGACGAACCCTGGAGTTAATATTTAATACCATACTGTTTACATCATTCTAATCGTTTAAACGCATCTTGCAGCATCTCGAACATTTAAACCGATCTTAACGTTTCTCATTGACTCTCAATAACACAGCAAATTATAAAAATGTATAAAATTACGATTTTCATCGCCATGGTAGTTCTGACCCTTCATTTTTCAAACAGTTTACCGCTTGACAATGATCAGGTAATTATATCATACATTTTTTTGTTAATTAAATGAAACTTTAGAGTGACATTCGAATTTACAACACTAATTATTTATTTTTTAATTTTCTATATAACATTACTAAAAAAAAAAAGCTAATTGTAACTTACACGGCCTAAATACAAGCTATATTTTGGTATTGAACCAAGATAAATTAGTTGACTAAAGATTTTCAATTTTTGACTTGTGTCAACAATAATAATCAAAATAATTATAGCAACTCGAATTCTTCTAGATTGATACCGTACACACTTAGTTTAGTGTACTTTTTCGAATAATAATGAGATCAACTACATTTTATTTTATAAGCATTTATTCCTGCAGTGATCATATGTCAAATGCAATAGGAAATTTATAATTAAAAATATTTTTAATTATAAATAATATTAGCTACAACCTAAGCGAATTACAAATAATCACTTGTAGCCTACAAATGATTATTTCTTATTATATAATAAGTTTTAGTGTTTTGACGACATGTCAGTAACATTTTTTAGTAATAACATAAGAAAATAGATTTCATTTCTTAAGAAATTTTCATTCATTCTAACTATTTAAACTTTCCAAATTTATATAGACAGTTCAGTAAGTAAGAAATCGGGTTTCCATTGTTCTCATTGTTTGTAAAAAATTATCTGTTCTCTAATTACTGAACAACCTGTATATTATTTTCTATTTGGAATCAAGAGAAAAGTTTATCGATTATGAAAAAAAAATAATTATGATAATCCCCGTTATAATTTACATTAAATATTGCAAATAATATACAACAAAATCCAAAAAAAAAAAAATTTGACTAGGTTTACGCTATTTTAATTTAATAATCACTATGGGTTCAAGGTAATGGTTAAAAACATAGATTCACATAATTTATACATAATTAAAGATTATATATTTATTTAGACTAACAATTGAACGTGATACGATCAGGGTTATCACTCTAAGCCATAAATAATAGAAAAAGTTATTGAGTAGTCGTATAATGAGTTGAATAAAATACAAATTTCACAATTAAAAAAAAAACATGATTCTTACAACATATTCAAGTCACTGAATGAAATTCAAAATGATTGTGTTTTAATGATCGATAAAGCTTTTGGGAAAATCTTATACTTTTTTTAATTTCAGAGCGAACCTACAGTTGAAACACTACCCGTTGAGTCGTCGGCCCCTAACAGCGCTGAGCCTGAGGAACCTCTACCCTCATCAACAATAAAACTATCAAAAACCGAATCAACTCTACACACTCTACAATCGTCAAGTTCGAAACAATTATATTTTACAAGTGGTCTACTTTTACTAACATTCGCTTCGATTTTCATTTAAACACTTACAACAAAATGTATTAATAACTAAAATACTGATGATTAAAATAAGCTTATTACTTAACACGTAAGACTTGATGCTTTAATTTTCTATATTATCGACGTTATTGCTAATCAAAATATTTTACGTAATACTCCAATTACGTTTTCCTATATGTTACATGTACGAAAAATAGTTTAAATTAATTAGCATAATAAAATCTTTAAAAACTGACTGTTAAATATAACTAAGTTGTTTTTTTATGTAATTTTAACTAGAAAACAATAATTAAATGTTATGTTTTAATAATTATTTTTATTGAATATAAATAAAATAGTTAAATGTTGCATTATTTGTTTAAAAAATACCTAATTATTCAATTTGCGTAGTGTTGACTAAAAGTAATAATGGAATCGGACTGTTGTTGATGTACAAAGTGCGAAACGTCATAATTATCAAATACCTATTTTATTTTTTATTTTTACTACAAAACGACTGGGACCGATTTTGCGCTATTTTGGCTATTCCCATGATATTGAACATACAAATCCTACCCCTCAACAAAAATCTTTCCATTCTACCCTAATCACATAAATAAGTTATACATTATCATTTTTGCAAAATCTTACGTAATTAAAGAAATAATTTTTAAATGTTTAAAAGACTTAATGTTATACCGTACATATACATATATATTTTTTTTATGTCATACATTCTTACATGACAACTCACATCTGAATAATATAATGATTAATAAATTATCAATGACAATTTAAATAGTTAAATTGTTAAATTAAACACTACAATATCACTTTACTAATCATTATCAGTAAGCCACAGAACGATATGGATTTATAATTTTACTTAAACGACTTGGAAAGGTCCCACGAATGTGCATCTTTATCGTTAGATTATATAGAACGTAGAAATATTTTTAGGGGGTTTAACCCACTTAATCTGCCCACCAAAAACTATAATCTCGATAGCAACACATTACTATGTTTTCGAGTCGATTGAAAAAATTTGTACTAGCCAATGGTGTATTCTGAATAACTTAACAAATTGAAGAGCTCAAGATTTTAAGATTGATTTAGGGAGGGTAATCGATGGATACTAATCACTCGAAAAAAATCATTAACTATAGTAAACTTCAACAATTGAGATAATAGACCATCGGATATCTCCATGTGAAATTAAAAAATATTTAGGTATTTTTGAGCGTTTGAGAATGCACAAAGGGTGAAGAATGTGTTTGCTGCTGCGAGAAATACTGTGCCGCCGTCGATTTTCACAGAAGCCAATAGAAAACACCGTCCCTGGCCATTTTTCGCATGTGCCACTCCGACGATGGTAGGAGCTTTGTGGTTTCCATGGCGATTCTCTGGGATTTACAAATCTTCTGCAGCTATTCGTCGTCCCTGCACCACCACCATCACCATTATCATCAGACCTTGCGCTTAAAGTGATTGTGCCGCGTGTCCAAGATTTACACGCGGTAACGCTCGCTCACCATTCGTGTACGTTTGTAGAGCTCGTTTACAGGACATCCAAAACTAACAACAATTTGAATTGACCGAGTACTATGACGAATAAGATTAAAAAATGCACCGCTCACAATCTACAATGTTATGTGCATTTGAAATACATAGAAATACAATGGTCTATTACTTACACTCAAATAAAATAAATTTGTCAAACCAATTTAAATCGATTAAACGACTCGTGTAAAAATTGAAATTTTTATTACATAACATAACACTTTTNGATAAGATTAAAAAATACACCGCTCACAATCTACAATGTTATGTACATTTGAAATACATAGAAATACAATGGTCTATTACTTACACTCAAATAAAATAAATTGGTTGCGAAAATAAATTTGTCAAACCAATTTAAATCGATTAAACGACTCGTGTAAAAATTGAAATTTTTATTACATAACATAACACTTTTTTTTTAAATCTTTGTTATTGATGAATTCCTATTTGTTGGTAATGAAAACTATTTAAAATGTTATAAGCCTACAATATTCGGCAGTCACAGTCTATAGTTTGATAGTAATTGTTTTTATTGTTGAACAATAACCTTCTTTTAAGATATAAGAAAATGTGTAGAATATAAATTTCGGTGCTATTTTTTTTTATATACAACTACACGCAACGATAAGTTGTATCATTACCGCACGACTATGTATTTTTAAGTCGTTTTAAATTTAATTTTAATTTACCGTAAATACGGTAAATTAGCAATGAAATGTACGCCTATCGTTTGGTATAATTTTAGGGTCGCTACATAAAACAAACTTGCGGTTGTAAAATAACCTACAAACTAAATTTTCTCAGGGGACATTTTATGCTTTAACTAGTAAAATGCGAGTTTACAAAAAAAAATCTCAATTCAGTGATCTATTGAAAATAAATTATGTAAATACTAAGATATTACGCTACAGTGATAATTATATCGATCAATGTAAAAAGTTATCAAATATTATTTTTTTGGAAAAAACAACGAGATTACTTGATGATCATAACACCGTTACGCTGTACACAACAATTAATTGCGGTAAATGGATGACTTAATCAAATACCACTACTAACTATTAGTAATTTTATTACATCACTAACATGTTTACATTAGAGCACGCGCCATCTGTTGGTCTAGAACCAACAGTTAATGTCTAGGGGTACCGTTGGGACCAGTCGGTAAGGATCGTGCGGAATTCATGTCTCCGGGCTGATTTATTCGCGGTACCCTCATTTGTGGCGGCGGCGGTTCGGATTAGCCTTTACCGTCCACGTGTCCCTACGGTCCGACCTTCTATTGTCGCGTTATCGTGTAATTGAGTTGGGCTTCCTTCCGTCGCCCCATATTTTATCATTGTAATTAAGTAACGTAACACTGCGGCACCGCAATCATCCTCGTCCTTCGCCTGCAGGGTACACGCAAATGCCACTATTGTAAAACCTTTGAGCTTTCGTTGAATCGGCTCCATAGAGGAAAACGTATTTTCAGCCTAATAGGATAACTGGCGAATTGTCGTTGTCGAAAACAATGTAAAGGGAGCCGATAGATCGTTTTTCTTCTCAGTCTAGTCTGAATGTCTCGATTATTCGGCATTCGACAATTCGCCATAAAGAAATATTATGATGATACTTTTATCCGACAATAAAACAAATTGTCGGGATTGCCGTTACAAATGCTCACGACATTTTCATACAAATGCAGCGCTATACATGTTATTTCATTGTCAAATTAACGTCAACGGCAATTCACAATCGTTTTTCTACGTTTATTGCCATTTACCCGTTATGAATATTTCATCGGATTCTGTTTTGAACTTGGGCAGCGGAGTAGGAACGTCGAAATCGAGTTAAGACTAAAGTAGTTACCGTCTACTATTATATTATTATACGCACTACGAGGGAGGGAGTCGGATCATCAAAATGTACTGAGGAAATGACAATAATAATAATAACCGAAGCTAGTGGACTCTAAGTAAGGCTTCCGGTGGAAGATACCTCCCCACAAGAACGGCTTTTACATCAGACACGTCGAATTAATGCTCCATTGATCCCCAAAAGCGAATTGTCTTCCCCGGCAAAATACCTTAACCGAAGAAAAGATAAAATCATCGAGTTTATCCTTGATGATGGATGTTTCCCTGTAAACGCGACCAGGTTTCTCAATCGTTTTGCTTTTTGTTAAGAAAGAGTATATCTTGTGGTTAAGGCTTTTATACCATTTTGCGGCAGTGCCGAAAGCACTACAGGTTAATAAATGTTTTCAAATAACACTTTTCATTGGTCTCAAATTTCGTACGTGAATTCTTCTTCGATTTTTTCACTATGGAAAATGTGTTAAACACAATATTCAACTATAAAATGGTTTATTTTTTTGCTGTTATCAATCTACAATTTGAGGTACTTTTCCTCACTTAAAAACTGAATAAACAAATTTACAAATACTATATGCTCAAATTACTGCTTTTATTTTTCTAGTTGTCAAAAAATAATGTACATTTCTTATTTTAAATCTATTAATAAGACCTTTTACTTAATTACTATCATTTAAGTTAATCCAATCACCAATGTTTCCATCACCAATCTAAGCAATGGCTGCCATTTATTAAGTGTCGTCAAATATGTTATGTACTTGTACATTTTTCAACGAATTCATTAAAAATCATTATTAATAAATTAATGGACACTGGTAAATTATTAACTACGGATCGATTAATTATAAAACAGTACTCGGTAAACATATATCTCACCGGTACACGATATGTTCCGTGTAATCGATACTTGTATACCACACACGCCAAAGTCAAAACGAATAGTTATTATAGATTTGCTCAAGTATATCAACTAATTATCAACATTACTTGCTCGTATCTTGATTATGCAAATATTTATTAATGCTGTAGCTGTTACACTCGTATCAAAGTTCTCTCACAGTTACTGGTCTATCACATAACGCCGCCACTAAACGATATAATCGATACCTGATTAGAGGCGGCGGAATCCGTTTTAATTCGTCAAGGGTCATTTAGTGCCGTGTGTCGACCACCCGACTCGCACTGCTAGCCCAGTAGCCTATTACTATTAAATGCAACTCCCCTATGACTAATTACCGTTTAACTACGGTCTGACGTATCGGCAAGTCGTTACATATATACAACGAATTGGAGTATGAGCAACATAAATAATTCTTCAGCGCGGCATCGTGGAAATATTTTTATAGAGAGCACGCGACCCAACGATAAAAAGGACAATTGGTATTTAATAACGACTTCGAAATAACGTAAGTTAAACACAATACCACGGGCTCCCCTTTTTGTTTTCATACACAACTGACTGACCCCCTTCAACAATATTAATAATAAAACACAAATAAAAAAGAAATCGTTAATCGTTTTAGCTACAGCAATACTGTGTGGTACAAATCGCCTGAATCGGTACCGATATTAATACATTACACGTAGTCGTGTCGAATGCCGTTCGTGACATTTTATATTTTGATTCCCACGAACTAGATAGCATTTTACGCAACCATTTAGGATGATCTCGTTGGAAACACGAAAATGTTTTATTCGATCAGTGGCAGNGACATTTTATATTTTGATTCCCACGAACTAGATAGCATTTTACGCAACCATTTAGGATGATCTCGTTGGAAACACGAAAATGTTTTATTCGATCAGTGGCAGAATAAAAGTTTCTGCGGCCCGGAGCAATTTGTATTTGATGTCTACTGAAACATTTTTTTTTCGTCGCATTCAAATCAAAGTAATTTTTTTCGTCGATCAAATGATAAAAGTCAAGTATGTAAACATGTCTAGAAACTAATTCAATTGCGCCATTGTCTCTGAATCTATTTCATAACTGACATAAGAAGTATATATATTTAGTTGTTAAGTACAACACTTTTTGAGTAACCCTTTCCGTAAACAAGAATAATTAAAAATATTTAACATCGCGTATAGTTATTAAATAACACACTTTTCGAATCCGTCTTTACCCTAAACTATATCATAAAATTATGATACTTTCAGCAGGGTTAATTGATAAGATTAGCTATGAACAAATAAAATTATGAGGTCACGGAGGTTAGATAAAAAGTAAAGCTGGTACCTTGTTTACTATTTAAAAAGATAAAGTATAAGAAAAAAAATATTATCGAATAAAAACAAATGAGTACTACGCTATGCTCTCAATTTTTTGCCATAAATTATTTTAATGATAAATACTTGTACTACAATTGTTGAAAATTAACTAAAAAATATATATGTACATTTTTTAAACGAACTAGAATAACAGTTATTTTATTATATTTAATGATTCTTCATTTTAACGCTATCTATTGGTCATTACTAAAAATGATAATACCTAAAATAAACAATAGATTGCGGTTATTCATTCCTTTGTGTCATTTAAGTTATTTATTCAATAAACCCATTTTTCTTCTAAATTTTTAGAATTTATAGACTCATTGAAATTTATTGAAATAATTAGTAATTATAATTTTCTTATGATTTATTTTAGTCATCATTATTATTTAATTACAATTTTTAAATATGCTTATATACTAAAGTAGTATACATTTTGCGGACTAATTCTTTTATAAGTATATTTAATTGGTAATATAATAGTATTTATATATGATTGCGGATATAATTATATTTTATCAATAATCATTAATAAATATTGTATTATATCGATAATAATCATTTCATCTAACGGTCATCAATGCGCTACTAATAACAATTACATATTTATAAGATTTTTACAAGAACAAACGAATTAAATTAAGTCCCGTTACATTTTAAATAAAACGAATTATTACTTTGGCGACTAATTTCTCATAGTAGAACATTTATTGAATTTCAATAAATTTAATTAACATGTATTTAAACCGCTCACTAAGGTTTTCACATGATCAGCTGACAAATCACCTGTGCCGGTACAATTTGTTTCAGCGACTGGGAAAAGCCGAAAAGCGTGACATAGTTGTTAACGAGAAAGGCAAGAACTGCTCATGCACTCAGACCTGTAAGTCAATTGTACACAAACCTGTCATAATATTCTGTTGTCTATTTTAAAATCGAACATTTCAAACTTTTATGCATCAAAAAATTTTATCAATGAAGTATTTAATTTTATTTTTAGTAAATTAACAAAACATGCTTCACAGAAATAAAATGTATAAGTCGGAAATATATTAAGAGTATATTTTTCATAAAAATAGATAATTTCTGAAAATATTTTTTTTTCTGATGGTGGTAATTATTAGAAAATCTAAATGATAAAAATTATCAAAAAATACACTGTTATGATTTTAATGAACTTCAAAATTTATATAAATTAAAATAAACTTAAAATAATAAGTAATTTATATAACTTATACAAAACGTAAAAAAATAATTATCAAATTATACTCTTTCACATAGAAATACACAAACAGGTACACAAAAACATATTGACGATAAATCAATCTAGAAGTTGATCAATGAATAATTATATTATTGCTTATGTTAAAGTAATCATATTCATTGAATATCTGAGTTAAGAGCATAGAACTTAAGATTATACAAATAGGTAGAAAAATAAATAATTTTTTACAGAAATCATAATAATAATTTATAATGACTTTTTAAAAACAATAAATAATTATTTAAAAGCTTTTTTCAATACAATTAAACACAAAAGATGAAGAATTATTCTCCGCGGTATGTGAAGGCAGCATCAACAACGAATATGATTCCATTAAGAATTGATAACCAAGCTTTAGTCATACCAGTATTGTGGTAGGAACCTTTAACTAGTGAGCCGCTGAAATAATTGTAAGACATGACTCCAGCAGTAATGTATAGAGCAGCACCAATCAACACGTAGAACATATCCTGTAAAAAAATTTAAATTATTAATATTTAAAACACTTAAACATTCGTAAAATTGATATATAAGATAAGAGATTTTATGAAATGTAACTTTGAAATAATTTAAAGTATTTCACTGAATGTAAGAGTTGTTGTATAAATAACCATTTTCGAAAAATCAGGATTGTTTTTACAATAGTTTTATAGTAAATACTGAAGAATTTAACCTAATATTGGAGATTGAATCAGTTTATTAAACTCAACTAGAATTATATTTTAATCTATATAATTTCCAAGATTCTTCATATCTTTTAATTATCTAACTACAATATTCTCACCAATTGAATATATCCATTTCACATTGGTAATATAGACATTAAAAGAAAAATGTGTATTTTATAGACATATGGATATATTTTGTACGTTATTACTGCATTAAATCGACAATAATTGATTTCATATTTTTATGATAGATTCCCCCCTATCATAAAAATATTATAAACTGTATTTTACGCAGTAACATATAAACATTCCTCACTGTTATATATTTATCATTCCCTACGATCATAACCTTGAACTATCCCAAACAATGGGAAAAAGTGTTATTATATTTTATAATTATTCATAAACCTATGAATGGCTTTTATATCCAAAGTTTTTTTAATAATCGATCAACAATATTTTAACCACGCATTCTTCATAATCCTTTGTAGTTTTTTATACCAAATTAAATAATACTACATTATTAAAAATTATTTTAAAAAAATAAAGAATACTGACCAATCGTGCACTGATTGGGGTTCCAGTGAACAGTCCGATGAAAATACCAAGCAAGACAATAACGTAACCTACGTATGTACCAGTGGTGATCATACTATGGCTAATGTCCGCAGTGCTGGGAAAACTGTTGTAATGCAATGCGAAAATAATAATTGTCAATGCCTGAAAAAATATTCGTATAAGTCATTAGGTGTTTTAAACACAATTATTAATCAATTAATAATTAAATAACATTTAATTAAATTCATTTTTAGTTTAAAATTTGAATTTTCTTTTATTGTCAAACTATAGCAAGTCCTACACAACGCCTCCTCATCCTTCTGATGTATCGAAGGTTATGAGACCGATTTTTTATAGTTCCATGTAAATAAACGCCAAGGATATACATTTCATAATGTAGTATTAAGCATTTTTAACTTTGTATAATTTCAAAGAAAAACTAATATATTAAAAATATTTAAATTTTAATGACGTTTCTTGGCATTCGCACGCAAAAACAAACACACCAGGCAAAACCATTAACAAATCATCGTTGTGACCAAAGTTAAAACACTCTTAAAAATATGTTATACGCACAACTTAGAAGGCTATGTAGGTTAGAACAGTCGCATAAAAAGGAAATATATAGGACTTCGAACAAAACTAGTTGTAGACAACTAAGTTGAAATGTCGGAGAGAAAAGGTTTCTTTTTAATTGACTGACTAACGCCAAAAATGGCATTGAAATTCGAAAGTGCGTTAAAACTCTGCTGACGATAATGTTGACTTTTCTAAAACGAGCAATTCTTTTCAAGTGCTGTCATTGTAATGAAAGAAAAAACAAATATCGCTATATAAACTAGTCACATAATCGCAAAAATGAGACATAATCGAGATCATTCGTGTCTTTAAGAATTCACAATACATAGAACACGTGCCAAGGGCATCAACACTCATATATGCATACTAAAGTTTGGTTCTCATCGCACAGATTTCACAGAAAGTGAATTTGTTGGGGCGGATAATTGAAGCAATTATTTTATCGTGAAAAACAAAGAACTGAATTCATTTATTCATGGCCGTTTTCACTTTGAGTTCTCAGTTATTTAATTCGCAACTAATGTAGGCAAAAAATAATAATTACACATCGGAGGACATAATTCGGTCAAACCTGATTGGTGGAAGAACTGAGGTATTACATTACAATAAAATCACATTACAATGTATAGCGGCACCGGTAAACGAGAGTTATAAAAAATGTTTACGGCGACGCCATGAGTCATCAACGTAACCTTGTGTGCCTCTATTCACTGGGTCGTAAAAAGCAAAAACACCTTGTTCATAAACAAAACAACGACCATGTATTAGACGCTTACTATTATATAATTACATCAAGTACATGTGAAAAATAATTAACTCAAAGTTTGATCCCACACTATTGATATGAATGTATAACTTTCATATCAATTATTTATAGTAATATTTTCCACTCTGTTGACAATATTTCGAACTAATTTATTCGATTTGTCATCGCATCAAGCTTATTCATGACTCACTAGTAAATAATCAATATTCTCAAACTATGAAAATCATGTCATACATGAAATGTCAAACATCACAATTAGCTAATTAGTAGTTAAACACTAAAACTGAAATACCTTGTATTAAACCTTGTTTAATTGATAAATAATTATTTGAGTTACCTAAATGCGAGAAATTTTAACGAAAAAAACCAATGAAAATAAATAAATTGATAATTTTTTCAATGTTTAGCTTGAAAAGTACACTCTTTACTCATGGAAAAAAATTTAATAGACGTACAAATTATTACAGTTCTATTTTAGATCAATTAAAAATCAAATTCGGAATCATTACGTTATTTCTTGATAGAAAGATAATTTCATACTTTATAATTGCCAATAAAATAGTCTATTATAAAATTAAAAAAAAACCTTTTTTTCAAATTTTCAAGAAAAAAAAATGCTTATTATTCTAATTGCACAAAAATGTTTTAACTTCCCACGTTGAGGGTTTAAACGCATATCAGTGGATGAAACCACTCCTTGTTTTGTCAGATATGCATGAACAATTTCAATAGCATGGCGTAAAACAGAACAGTATGTATAAATACATATATTAATTAACTTTACCAGACCATTTCTAGTTTGTGATGATATTTTGCCGCCAAACCATATGGGTCACGAGTGTAATGGCCATTGGTCTATTATTAAATACTCCTACACGTGGACGGTTTTACTGTTTGTCAAGCAACTAAGCATTACGTTTGATTTCTAACCGCTGGACTCTATAGTATCAATCAGCTCTCATTTATTTCTACTATACCGAGAAATAAAGAAAGAAATAGATTGTTGTTTGAACACAGAATGTTCATTCACATGTTATGCCTTTAAGCTATTATTTAAGACTCTCATAAATTGTTAACACTTAGACAAATTCTCAGAAACCGCCGGGTCACCGAAATAGTAGATTTTGTTTTATAAAACCAAATCGTTCAAAAGAATGAATTTAACGAAATATATTATTAAGATGTACATCCAATTACGATATAATAGTTATGAGATTAATAAAATCAATAGTAATCGGAAAATAAGTATATTCCTCAATGATATAAAATACTCGTTGATTTATAATACTTGTTGAAGTCCACTTTCACATGATAAGATCTGTAAACGGTAGATGGCTAACAAGTTGTTCAATAAAATAGATTTGAAAAATGGAAATCATATGGTTTTATAAAAATCAAGACTTGTCTAAATAAAGAACTACAAGTGATCGCATCCGCAAAATTTTGGAACGGCTAAAAGATTTTTTGGCGTTATTCAACTAATATGCACGCATAATAATTTAAACTTATTGAAGCTGACAACGCATAAAAAAGATGTTACTAAAAATATAACATTTTATTATTATTTTAGTTGTTTGGGATCGTTTTTCTATGTTTTATTTTCCACACGCTTAACTAATAATTCAACAAAACATGTAACCAACTAACTAAACAACTTATCAGCAACGATAGACAATATTAGTCATCTCAAACTATTGTTGTTTTTAATACTCAATAATTAATCATGCATATTTACGTGATAAATTTCAGCGTTATGAATAACTTATAGATAACATTTGAGTAGCGCACAAACAAATTGTAAACAGAGGGTCGGACTTGGACCAAACAATCGTATTTAATCATTCACGATTAAACGATGAAAAATACAGTTAATAATAAAAAAAGCAAACTAGAGAGTGAAAACTTTGGCGCGTATCACCATTCGTCTAGACACTTCTTCATAAATAAAACGAAAAACTCTTTTAAACTTTTAATTTTCTACTAACAGTTTGCCATTTTTACTGTCTATACTTAAACTTTTAAAAATTTATACAGCATATGGGTCCAACGAATCAATGGATTCCATTCAAGTTAAAGATTACATAAACAAGGACACGAACATACAACGGTGGAAATGACTGCAAGTGATGGTAACGACAATTTTGGGCATGTCATTTGTTTTAACTATAAACGGAAGACCTTTCAGCTTTGAATGGAAACGGTTGTGACAAAATTTTACGGCATGCGTAATCAACAGAAGCCGATCAATAACAATGCTAAATCCAAAAATATTTAAATGTCCAACGAAACATATTTTTAAGCTCATTAGCCAATAAACTACAACGATTTAAGTTTCACGATCATCGATCATTGACCACGCACTTAAGTGATTAGCATCGGCTATTGTTCTTACCATCGGAGTCAACATATTATTACTTTTACTGTTAGTTTTACTATTAAATGCTATTTACTAATGTTTTTAGTATAACCATAAAATTGGCATTCTACGCTACCGTTAGTAACTACACAACCTTTAAAAGTATAACTATTTTTCACGAAGAACAGAAAATGGTAATAAAGGAAAATGATATTAATGTTATACGAAGACGAACACGCTATTCGTTATTTAATTTTAAACCAAAAGGACACGCCACCGCATTCAATTTTTTAATAACACGTTTTTATCGCGATCATCGTATGCCCATTAAAATTTAGGTTATGACTCTAATGTTTATTGTTTTCATGAATATAATGTAGTAATATAAATAATACGTGTACTTACGATTTCGACGAATTTGATCATGGTGATTTTTGTTATGGCCATTTTGGAGTTTTGTGAGGGTCTTGAAGTCTTAACAAAATTTCAGTCTGCAAACACGATATAAGGTAATTTATTTATTTATTTTTTTTGTAAAAATACAGCACTATAATAGATTTTTTTTTATAGTCTCATAGAGAATTGACGTCGGGTCACGTTGAGTAGGCGATATGTAAGGTCCCTAAAAGGGAGTGGTATAATAATTTTCGTGACCTTCGTGCTATACAGATTAGATCATCGTTAATAAATAAATGTACATAATTACACATACGCTACAATAGGACTGGAAGCGAAATCGGAAATTAATTTCAAGTTTACCTTCTTTAACCAGCCAACTCCTCCTGTCAAACCTCGAGAATCATTACAGACAATATAGCAACCCATTATTTATGTGTAATAATGGATTTCGTTCATAGGGTATGTAATATTCGTTTAACAGTTCGTCAGAGTTGAGTGAACATTCTGAAAAAGGAAATGGCAGCGGACGTAGTTCAGTTTGACATATGGGTCATCCTGCACAAGGACACACAGGTGCGGTCTCTCTGAACTTCCCGAGGCTAATATATTTAGTACACAAAGTCACATACGTGGATTTACTACATAGTTTATTATAACAAAATAAACATAATGTTTACAAATTGCTATTGACCATCTTAATAGTAAAACCTGCTGCCGCCAGTATCGTGGGAACACACAGTCGTTTTGTACAATTAATAACAAAAATGACATAAGAAAACGAATATGTAATTTGGTAATGTTCAAATTTATATTTTTGGCAATCTTAATGGCCCAAGACTGTTATTACGCAAAAAAACATGATTTTATTTTTCGTCAACAAGCTGCCATTATATTATACAAAACCTATCTAATTAACTAAAATAAATAATACCCTTCTCCGAGTATTATTAATAATCGATACATCATATAGGTAACAATTTGTTACCTATATGTATCGATTAAAAAATTATGAAAGCAATTGATTACTTGTAGCTAATAAAAAATGTAAGTATGTATAATGGTTCTTAAGGAAACTGTATAATAGTAGATCGTTCTCTTTAAAGGTTGATAACGAAATCATATGTGAAAAATAGTAAATTAAACAAATTTAAATAAATACAGTGAAAAAAAAATTGTTAAGTTATAAAAATATTATATATTAAATCCTATAAAATAAAAATAAACTTATTATACAAGTGTAATTCATTCGTTTTATTAAAAACATTTTTAATTCATGGAAACATTTCTAATTATAGAAACTGTGTGTTATTATAAGACATTCAAATTACTGTATTACTTTTTTTATGTAACAGTGAATTGCAAGATTGGATTTGTTTAAATACTTCTATGTATATATTTAATTAAGTAAATAAAATATTCTTAAAATATCAAATCAAAATCTTCATTGACTCTAAATTTTAAAAAATTCAACTGAACACTTTACTAGCATTACTCTTTAATTTATAATTAAGACTTTTAAAGTACTTGTTTATTTATAGTAATTATTTATAACCAAGAAACAATACCTATAATATTATCACAATGTATTAAACGGTTATTTTTTAATAGTTAATAAAAAAAATATTTTAACGTTCTGATAGGACAATTAATTTATGTAATAAACTGATAATCAATAGATTTCCTTTGATATTTCTTCCAAAAAAATATCATTATTTTTACCGCCTAAGAACTCAAGCAAGAACCAGTTTATCTAATAAATAATATAATAATAATAATTAACAAAATAAATAGCGAAGATCAACAATAAATTATAATACTGGCCAAAATTTTAATTGTAATTAATGCGCCCACTCATTCTTAAAATATAGATACTAAGTTGGATCCGTGACAACGATCAATTATCAATTAAACAACTTATAATAATGCTTAATATACTACAAGTAAACATTTTTAAATCTATTTTTAACCTTAATAACAATTATAAATTAGTGAATTGTGATTTCTAAGAAAGAATTTTATTTTTAGAATTAATTTCGAAATAAGTATCAATATTTTAGATACTTTTTAAGAGCTATCACAATAAATCAATAAACAGAAATCGACGGAATTGCACTAAAAAGAGAATTAGGGTTAAATAACGGAAATCTCGGATAGAAATATTTGCTTAAAATGCTGTAAAAATCAGACAATTTTTTTTCAATTGACTAATTTTTTTTTATTCAAAAAAGACGAACTTCTTGTAAAGGTAGGTACAAAAAAATACAAGTCGTTTAAATACTTTAATTAATTGAAGTCGCTTATATGTTATTATTATTAATTGTATTTAAACAAATTATTAAAAAAAACATTTCTATGCTTAAAATTCCCAAAACATTTAATTTGTAAAATAATGTTACACAACTGTTGTTAATTTAAAGTCAATATTTTTTCCTAATACCAATAAATGCTTCACACAACATATTACGTTGTATTTTTAAAATAACAATGAAACATATGTTGTTCAGCTATAAACACCTTTAGTATTATACCAAAAATTTTATTGCTCCCATTAAAAGAACAATATAATTACAAATAAAATAAAAACTATGAATTATGATAGTGACTATAGAATTTTTTTAGTATAATTAAGTAAAATAAGTAACTAAAACTATGTAAATAAAATTTATTTGTTTTTGTAGCTGTAAAAAATATATAATTTACCATAATATACTTATCTTAATATAAAAATACATTAATCTACACTCGCCAAATTTGTTTCAAAACAATATTTATGATAAACATTTTCCTTTATTGAAAATTAATTTTATTTATTTATTTTTAATTATACAGATTACTCCGTAATTATAGTTTTTTTCTTTTACATTTTACTATATAACATTTAAATCTGAACAAAAACTCTTTTAATAAGTCATCACTTGATTAATAACTCGATGATGTTCAGAAAACTACAGAACGAGTTAAAAATGTTAAATAATCATACTTCAATAATAAAAATATATTCAAGAACACATAATGTACTAGTTCTTTAATAATCATTATAACTTTTAAAATTAATGAATACCGTTTATGAATAATTTTACCAAATTTTTCACACTTTGTACATTAAAAACTCACTTAAGAAAATTTTAACTTGGCACGTTTCTTTTTTTCCACTGAGAACATTGAATTAATTTCCAAAATAGCACGAAAGTTCACTTAGAGTAATAACCAGTAGGGGTAATAATATAAGGTTAGAATTAAAAGTAAAATTAATAGTAACTCACCAAATAGACTTGTGAACGGCGGCAGAGCTGAATACACAATAGTAGATGCGGCAAGCAACGTCGTTTATATATCAGCTATGTGTACATCCGACGCTGAATATATCACAACAACTCTTTACACTTGATGGCAACATTCGGCCAACAGTCATACCGCCTGTTGACCCGATGACGAATTGAAGACACATAGTGAGCAAAACGGGGGACTCATACTAAGGAAGAAGATATTTTTCCTTAGCCGATTAAATTTTACTTAATTACAGTGAGATAATCTAAGGCAAACTGCACTTGATTTATAAACTTTGGTATTTCACACATTTTTTTTTGTTTTGTTTATGAACAACGTTTTATTGTTAGTATAAGAAAAAAACGATCGTCTAATACTTCATTTTTAGTCAAAACAAAAAAAAAATCGTATATTGAACGTTCAATTCACTTTACTAATGAGATATATCAATTATCCTTCAAAACGATCTTACACATTTGTTAAAAACTATATTACTTTAAATCCATCACAAATTTGACTTAAATTTAATTAAGAAAAAAATTTTAAATATAAGACAATATTTTATTTTGAGAAAAAAATACTTTCTTACATTAAAAAATCTTTTCTCAGAATTATTCTGTATAACACTCAAACAAGTAGATATTTACATTAGTGAGAACTTACGGACTAAATAAAGGGGCCGTACAAGGTTGTTATATTATTTTTTAAATTTGAATTATATAGAGTGCGGTGAATATACTTAAGTTAAAAATGAAACGAACCCTTGTACTATATATCAAGAAAAATTATAGATAATCATAATTTTAATTTAATAAATCAATATCACATGTAAGAAAGTTTCTAATATCCTACTATTTTCTGTGACTGACTTAAAGAATATAGTCCAGTTGTTTTTTGAAAATCTCAAAAACTTATGAATAGTGAAAAAATATATATATTTAAGTAAAAATTTTATAATTATTCACTAATTAAGGTTAGAAGTTCATAAAGATAAAATTTAACACCAACGCATTAACCTTATGAATGCATCGTTTACTGTTCAATCATTTTCGCAAGATAAAACTTACAAAAACGTGTTTGACCTTTTCCAAGGTATTTCTTATTTTATTATGTTTAATTGTATTATGTTGTCGAAAAAAAATAAGAAATATTTAGTACTTTTAAAAATATATGTTTTACTATAGGTAGATAAATATTTAAAAAGTATATATGTATGCAAGAATTATGTATTTATAATATGCAAATAATATTCTTAAATTGCAACAACATAATAATACTCAAATATTAAGAATTTAATTAAAAATATATTCAAAACAATTATTTATATCGCTACACTAATGACATGTTCTTCATATTTCCTATTTATCAACAAAGCGAAAAAAACATCCACAACAATTTTTTCCTACTTTTGATTATGAAATTTTATTATAACATTTTATGGAATTTTAGTCAATAAAAATAAATAATTAAAGCATAATAGATAGTTGTAAATTTAGTGTAGTTACATGTTATTTATTATTTTTAAGATAAGCTAAAATAAATTATTTTAGAAATATAACTATTATGTACAGAGAGTATAATTTAGTATAAATATCTTCTTTTTCGGAAATTGTCAAATACGTGGTATTGTCATTAGTACATAAGTATGGTGAATAGTGTATCTTAGTTTTTATAAATTTGTACCGTTTACTACTTTAATGCTCACGATTTTTAAATTTTCCACCTTCCAGTGTCAACGCTATAACTTGTAGAGCCCTGGGCCGATTATAAATGCAGAGCCTCAACTTAATTAATTTTAACCAAATATACTTTTTTTTGCTCATAATTTTTTTGTGTAGGGCCCCAAAATCACAAAAAATGGCCGTGAACATACGCCCTACTTGCCCGACCCTGGTACCTCCAATGCATTAAAGTAATAAAAATGTTATACGTATTGTACTTAATTTACAGGACCACAGTTAGAATCAATATTTAAAGGAAATCTGAGTTTAGACATTTAATTAATAATATTCATAATAATTATAAACATTATAATGAAATTAATAATAATTATTATTAATTTTATTTAAATTATTATTTTAACAAGCCATTTTTACATGTTTACTTATGTCAGACGTACTTGTACATGTCTTAAAACAATTATAATTGAATTGATATTATATTTTTAAAATAATAATTATTCAAGGAAAATCTTAACTTTATTTTATAGACATTCATTCGAAATTTTAACTAAAATACGAACTAAAAACATTTTTAAGCTCGATACACGTGTTATAAACGCAATTTATTTAATTAAAAAATAACATATCCAAAATAAAAAGATACAGTACCACTCTAGGAATTTTTTTTGCTTGTCCAACTCAACAGACTATAAAACTTCGTCATTGATTATTGCATGATGACTAATATTTTGAATATTATACATATTTATACACATGATAGTAGTACTAGTTACTATACAACTTCTACAGATGACCGTCATCAATAATGATGTCATTGATGTATTTTTATAATTATGGTATAAATATGCATAAATTATAGACTTGTGACGAAAATAAGATTATAATCTTTTCAAATCGTAATAAAACTAATATAAAAAGACAATATTTTTACTCTGGACCTGATATTATTTTTAAAATTCTCATTTGTTAATAAATTAATATCTTCCATTTGTTAATTTTGTTTAAAACGATTGACCACTTTACACTAGAATGTTTACTATAGACAAATATAAAAGTGACAACTTCATTTTTAATCTATAAAAACAACAATCTTACTAAAGACAAATGTTATTACAATGTTTTTTAGTACTAATTTGAAGCTATAGGGTTAGAAATAGATATTTCTAGTAATTTAAAATGCATTTTATTAATCATGACTTATTAAAAAAATTATAACAGAGAAATGTAATAAAAAAATGCAATGAAAGTTTAATTTTAATTAATCTAACTATAAACATTCAAGTCATGAAAGTAATACAGTTACCTTTACTAAAATTTCATAATTTCTACAATTAAAAAAAAAAAAAAAAAAATCTGATCACGATTTATGATGGGCATTTTCGAATATTTTAAACTATAGAATAGTATTTGAATTACTATCGAGTAGTTCGAAAAGTAGACTACCCTCGAATAGTTCGATAGTTACTATTCAATATTTCCTTTCACTATAATCACAATATTATTTTAAAACATAAATTTATACATGTATTGAGTTAATTAGTACATTTCAAGAAAAATTATTAAATCTTAAAATACACAAATCAAGCTTATATTTTATCCTCAGAAATTTAACTCTATCGGAAAAAATTGGTCAACACAAGATTAAATTGATAACAATTTTTATACATTTTCTATTCCCGTTCGTATATCTTTCCATTAAAAATATTTGTTTACTAAAAAAATACAAATACCACAATATTTACCCCTAGCAAATAAATACAAGGAAGAGACAATTATTTTATTTATTAATTTAGCTTAATGTTAATTATAGAAAGATCTTAAGGTACACCTATGTTTAACTATAATTCTTGATAATTTAGCTTTAATTTGACATTTTATATTAAAAATTGTCCAGGTTAAATTTTTTTTCTTGTAGGATAAAGGTGATTAAGATGACAAGGTTAAGCTTCTATAAATTTTCCTGTTTTTTTTTTAATAGAGTTAAGAACTAAAATTGACATGAGAACTTCGTTCATATCTTGCTTATTACTATAAATTATTTCTATATTCTTATCTTCTACGTAACAAAATATGGGGTTTTTTAAAAATTGATTTTTTTTGAGCCAAACTAAAGAGGCAAGATGATGAACATTGTTGTAAAAGAAATAGGTCTATTATGAATTTATATATTTTAAGTATTACATTCAGTATATTTAATACAGACAATTAAAATTACCTCAGCAAACTAATACCTTAAGTTTTTATGTTCAAAAATTACATTGAAACACGTTAAATAAAAATTCCTCATCACAACTAAATTCATTAGCGCTTGTGTTACTCATTAGTGAGTAATGAAATGTACCACAAGTCTTAAAAGCTAGCAAGTAGTTAATGCTATGCGAGTTTGATTTTTAATAATAATGAATTCTTTCTTTGTTCAACTTATCCCTACTTATTAGTTTACATGTAGACTAATTGATAAAACGTTATTCAATGCTAAATTTAAAGCATGTACCATACCGAACTTAATACTTATCTAATTCTTCTACAATATATTAAGATATACCTAATTGTACTTTTAACACAAATATAAATTAAACATTTTTATTACAAATATAAACTTTACTCAAAAAAAATCTTTAGTTAAAATCACTTATCTATTCATACATCTATTCATCAATCAACTATTTTAAATATTCCTATGTCATACTCTTATAATATAAGAGTATATTGGTGCATGTTAGAGCGTGTTATAAAAAATAATAGTTGAGCTTAATCATAAATAATGTGTTATCAATTATTTAAAAATTCGAAGTACATATGTACACTGAATCATTATAACTATTGATAAAAATTCAATTAGGCACCTCCAAAGTATAACAAATTATCAATGGAGTAAGTTATCATAATGACATAGTTGAGTGTTCTTAAAGCGATCAAATGATTTCCACTTTCGATTAGAAAAAATAGTGTGATAAAAACACATTTTTTTCAATTCCGAACAGTGTTAATTCGCCTTATCTAAATTAAAAACAGATAAAGTATTTGATTAGAATAAAAGTAATTGGACTGTATTGAAAAAGCAATGCAAGTTAATAGGCCCTTGTCTTTAAACATCAAGTAAATGCCTAAAATGACAATATTACATTTTTTGATATCTACATTTTATCTATTTTATTTAGAAATAAACAGTATCGAATAACTCAGTGTATGTAATGCTTGAAACTAGTTAACTCAAAGTCGTACAAGGGTGCTTTTAAAATATTTCATATATTTCTCGACTTACAAATTACTAGGTACTTTTTTAATTCATCCCTTAACCATAAACGGTATTAAAATTATTTAATTAAATGACAACACATATATTTAACTAGCCTATAAAATAAAAAATTAATTACGACTGGTAGACAACAATTTTGGACCAGTACATTAACACTTTTATACCTAGAAAGGAGAAGAAGTGCGGCCAAGAAATGATTTTGTTTAGGGCGGTAAATACTAGAGGTATTCTGACCTAACGTTTCCTTAGGTATTATTTCCGATATAAACAAATAATTTAGAACGCGTTTATATGAGCTCATTCTGATAATGGCGTTGTCAGGGTTACATCTTGTAAGGAGATATACATAAAAAAATTTTATCTTCCATATCCCTCTTCTATGAAAACGTCCATGAATTATGATTATAATATAGTGTCTATTCTTTAAAGCAGTAGTTTATAGTATATAAATCATAAGACTTACACGGGATCTATTCAACGAGTTTTAAAGGCGATTTTTCTTTTATATAATTGTTAAGCCAGTGATAATTATGTAAATAGTATATAAATTATCTATAAGTATATAGTATCTAGATTTTTTAATTATATTCGTAGGTAGCCATTTTTTTGTATCCCAAAAAAAGTTTTCTGGTTACTCCATTGAAAGTATTACAGTACTTTTTTCTTTTTTTAAATGTATTTTTCTCTTTCTTAATTTTTATTAACAAGAATAATAACAATTAATTATCAAATCAGTGCTTTTTATTATCAAATAGTACATAAAAATATAAAAAATATGAAATACAGTCTTGCATAAATATAAAATAAATGAGAAAATGATTTCACAGGCAAAATAAGCAAATATTTTTACATAAAATAATATTATTGCATAAACTAACTGCACAATATGTTTAAAAAATAAATATTTTGAAAAAATCTAATTAACTTGTTAAATAATAAATAATTAATTAACTGTTGCTAATAATTTTGACAATGGTTGCAAAGTTAGTTGTGGTAAATTTTTTCAATGAAAAATATTTTATATCATATCAATAAAAATGGAATGACTTAAATTTTTTTTAATGATTTTATATCATACAGTTTTAAAAATATATTTCTTGTACATTTTTCGATATTATTATACTTTTTTAAAAAAAAATATTTATAACTTTTATTAAGTATATTTTATAAAACTAAACTACTCCAATAAATAAGCATGATATTTTATTAATTATACAAACTTGTTTATCGAAAAGTAATTTATCAATTTAAAAAGTTGTTAACATTAAAATCAATTTTTCTTTTCAATTTTTATTGATTTAGAAAGTCAAATTAATAACAAAATAACATTATAGCCACTATTAACTACAAGTTGTACTTTTTAAATATAATAATAATATTATATACCCTTTTGAGAACTTAAAACTAAAACCTAATAATTAAATTATTTTTAGGAATAAAATGAAAGGGTTCTGCTAAATATTAAGCTTTTTAATTAATGACGAAAATATGTCTTGTGGTAGGTTTATGAAGTAAAAAAAAAAAATTATTTTTCACGGTACGTGAATACAGCATCAACAATAAAGACTATGCCGTTTATAACTGACAACCAAGCCTTGGTCATTCCTGTGCTAACATAGGAAGAGGAATTTCCTATCCAGTAGTTATTGAAGAACTTATAGGACAAAACTCCAGAAAGAATGTATAAAGCCGCACCAATCAAAACAAACAGCATATCCTGTTAAAAAATTATAAAATCTGACTACACAAATGAATTTTGATAAACTAAAAACTTAATATGATTAACTTTTTAATTCTAAATATATAGTGCTCATCACTATCACAAATGATTTAAATTCAAAAACTTAATTAATATTACATTTGTTTCCTTAACGCATATTTAATACCATATACAGGGTGGCCCACCACTCACTGACAAATTAAATAACTTTTGATCCAGTTAATATTTTTAGCTGATTTTTTTTTTAAATAATAGTTATACGTTAGGTCCATAGCTATATCTCAATAATTAATTTTTTTACATTTTATTAAAAATATTAATTATTTTTAAATTTTAAATAAAATGTAAAAAAAAAATCTAAGATAGCTATTTTGTAGAGTAGAATTTAAGAAAAATTTTAGTAAAAAAATATCTTATTAATATTCAGTAGTAAATATTCTGTAGCGTTTTGAAGTTTGTGAAAATTTGAATTTTCATGTACTATTTTACGGTATTAAACATTGAAATACGTATTGAGAAAAGGACAGAAGAAAACGCTATCTTTTCAATATACTTTTGAATGAGAGTGATAAGTAATAATTGCCTTATCTAATTTCTTATCATGGTATTTATGCCAAGTTTGTAATGTATACACACTATCATCATATGTATACACAGTAATCATGAAAAGATAGCGTTTTCTTCTGTCCTTTTCTCAATACGTATTTCAATGTTTAATACCGTAAAATAGTACATGAAAATTCAAATTTTCACAAACTTCAAAACGCTACAGAATATTTACTACTGAATATTAATAAGATATTTTTTTACTAAAATTTTTCTTAAATTCTACTCTACAAAATAGCTATCTTAGATTTTTTTTTTACATTTTATTTAAAATTTAAAAATAATTAATATTTTTAATAAAATGTAAAAAAATTAATTATTGAGATATAGCTATGGACCTAACGTATAACTATTATTTAAAAAAAAAATCAGCTAAAAATATTAACTGGATCAAAAGTTATTTTAGTTGTCAGTGAGTGGTGGGCCACCCTGTATTTTAATTACTCTATACACCCAAATTATTGTGTAAACCCTCTTTTTTAGTCAAATTAACGATCAATGTTTGTTTTATTATTTTTAAATTAAAATGCGAATCCCGCATTTTATTGAATTGAGAAACCTAGTATTAATACCTTTTACATATATTTTTACACACATTTAAAAATAAATTTTAAATATATAAAAATATACATTTTAATGAATAATAGTATGAGATGTCCTTCTTTTATTAGACCATTATTCTAATGTAATTTGGAATCATTTATTCATTTTAAGATAAATCTTCCATTAGTAAATATAAGCAGTAGCCGCTTAGAGCACTAAATTTTATCATTTAATAATCATACAAATACCTATATACAATTTATATTTAGAAATCACTTTTGGTTTTTATAACAAACAAAATTTTATACAATTTATACCAATTTTAATTTATATCATGTAAATTATAATTAAGTGGAACGAGGACGCTAGAANCTTAGAGCACTAAATTTTATCATTTAATAATCATACAAATACCTATATACAATTTATATTTAGAAATCACTTTTGGTTTTTATAACAAACAAAATTTTATACAATTTATACCAATTTTAATTTATATCATGTAAATTATAATTAAGTGGAACGAGGACGCTAGAACTACTTTTTACTATTGGGAGATAAATAGTATTGACTAAAAATCAATCCCCTAGATTGTTAGAAAACTAAAAATAAGGTAAAGCTATTTTTATTTTTTTTTATTTTTAGAGACCGTATAAAAAATCCAGTAATTTATAAACATTACATTTGATAATGCATACTATTTTTTATTATATTATTAACAATTATTGATAATATGCTATCAATCTTAGTTAATAGGATTGATTATAATTTATTTTATTTGTTTTAATAAATAAAAAAAATTACCAAATCATAAACTCGGAAAAAATTTAGTACAATTAATTGGATATTTGAAATATTTTAAGCAGATTAACTTATATTAAATTATAAACTTAAATTGACAAGTGTATAAATGAAGTACTGAATAAAAAACAAATTTTATCTTTGCCAAAAACTTGATTGAAATTTTACATTTTGATATTTTTTAGGCCGCAATTGATAATATAGTAGCAGTAAGCATAATATTATGGGATAATTACAAATACTAAAATAATAAACAATTTTTTTTAAATCAAATTATTAAAGAAAATTTTATAACTTAACCCAGGATTTTAACAATTATTATTTTTTTTAGCTATAATTTTTTTTATTGGATTTAATTTTATCTCGCGTATTTTGATTATGGAAAAACTGCCCATCCTTTACCTGTTACCGGCGCAACTAAAATGATAGTATAAGTAATAAATATTTAATTTTTCACAATAAAAAAAAAATATTTTATGAAATTATTTTAAAATGTTTATTGAAGTTTTAACATTCAAGGAAATAGGTCATCATTTTTATTTCAATTCTATGAAAAACTAAATTTTTGTAATATCACTTATATTACTTGTATTTAGATGCCTTAATGAATATTAATGTAATTACTGATTTCTCATTTCTATTTTAATTATACAGTTATTTTATCTTTCAAAACTTACCAATTTTGAACTTATTGGTGTTCCAGTAAATATACCAATAAGTATACCAGCCAAAATGATCACATATCCAACATACGTTCCCGTTATGATCATAATTTCTCCGTTTTCACCACCATTAGGAAAACTGTAGTAATGCAACACAAAGATGATCAATGTCAAAGCCTATTAAAGCAAATCTGTTATTTCTTGATCATATTTAACAGAGATATACATAATAAAATTATGATTATAAATAGATCCGCATTAAAGAAAAAACAGCGAGATCCATGGCTCTCGCATCTCAAATTTTAGTTTTACTTGAAAATTAATTTATTAAATTAAAAATGTGTGTAATTAATAGGATTTTATCTGAAATGTGTTTATAAATATTTATACTACATTTAAACAATAATGAGCAAAGACAGTGTAAACATATTGGTCATATGCGAAGAAGTTCAAGAGACACTTCGTCAATAAAAATGTTTCATCAAGCTAATTTTCTGGTAACTCAGTATATAAAATTTAAGATTCCGAGGCGTCGGACCCTAAACACATAATTCGATTTTGATAATGAATCATTAAACTATTTTAAATAGTGAACTATTTGTAAGAATAAGTTGCCAAATAAAAACTTTAATTATTCTAATTCCCCATTTATTGATGTGGTGTTATTGTAACCATGAAAACATTTTATTTAAAAAAAAAACCCTATTAATATTTTAGCATGACATGTCGTTTTTATAGGTAAAACAAAAACTTCAGAGGTCAACTACCCAAAAGCTTTTATGTTGAAAAAAATGAAATCGTTTAATAATAAATTTTATAGCATTTTTCGAAAATTTAGCTTGATTTAACTCAAGCTTCGCATAATGAAAATTCTAAGGTTAACAAATAAATATAAGAACTATAATATAACAAATATTGTTTCATTTTGAAATGATCGTAACAACAATTACAGTTACTTAAAGCAACTAAAAGGAAACGAAATACAGAGAACGAGATCAATTATTGCTTGTAAACGTTTTTTTCAACAACAGACACTTCATGATAACAATTAAAATATACAGAATGCATTTATAACTTATGATGTAATTAAAAACAATTCATCATAAAGTATTTTCATTATACTTCTGTATAAACCGTAGGTAGCAATGAGTGTTTTGACAGTTGACAAACTATCTAAATTCTTAGATGGTTTCAACACATCCTAATTTAGATCTAATAACTTACTTTTTTAAATTAAAACTAACATTATTTTCTGGTATGCAGTAATATAAAGATCTAGGTACAGTAACATAATTTCTTAAAATTGCTCATAATAGTTTAAAACTTTTTAATTTCGTATTTAATCAAACATCGGAGGGTCATTCCTAGAATGAGTTAAAGGGTATGGTCATACCATTCCCCAGTATAAATTTTATAGTTTCACTCACTAAATTTTAAACGAACTTATTAAAAAAATATACATATGGCTTGAATATACACTGTAATAAATGATACAAAATTCCCATACGTAATTATGATGTTTTTAATATACATTTTCTACACATTTTTTTTTACATTTCATGCGTTGTAAACTTCCAGTATTTTATACGACAATTCTAATTTTTTTATTAAGAGTATCTATATAATTTTTTTTTTTTTTGATAGTCATACACCTTTAAGTAATTATTAAACGTATTAACATAAAAACGGGTTCTAAACATTTTCATTTAACTTTTTATAAAAATGGAAAAATAGTGTTTCAGTTTTACTTATAGTTAAACTTACAATTTCCAAAAATTTGATGATAGTAAGTTTTGAAAGAGCCATTTTATTTTTCAATTTGAACCTCTAAAAATTCTGTGAAAGTTATTCAAAATCTGTCAACAAAAATGTTTAAAAGTTAAATAAATAGTTCAGGATAATATATTCTAAGCTAAACACTCAATTAAAAAAAAATTCTTTAACAATTTAAAATTACTTCTATTAAGTAATAAAATATTTCTAATCATCGAAATTGTAACTTTAGACTAAGCATTATCATTATAAAATAAAATAATAGTACTATACAATTAAAATACCTAATATTTATATCAATTAAGCCTTAAAATTTAATAGGTCTATTTGTTGTGCCAGTAGCAATATGAATCATTCTTATACTAATAAATAAGCATGTTACATCAAAATCTATACAATAACAATATTAGTTAATGGTAACTATTTATTTTTGTGGCTTTTGATCGATATTGACATGGCCATAACAATTACAACGATGATAAGCACGACAATATCGTTATGCATGCTTCATTTTTATTTATCAAGAATCAATATATTTTTTTATTAAAAACACGTTGGTAAAAATTTTAAATTATAAACATTTTTTTTATTATTTCATATATATCCGCTATGGCTTTGATTAAATAAGTACCTGTATATAGTATTGNTAAATCAATATATTTTTTTATTAAAAACACGTTGGTAAATATTTTAAATTATAAACATTTTTTTTATTATTTCATATATATCCGCTATGGCTTTGATTAAATAAGTACCTGTATATAGTATTTAACAATTGTATTAAAGTGCAATCAACCGAGGTATAACATAACTTATACACTGAGATTATAATATTGATTAACCAATAGATTATTATAAATCATTAAAATATTAATAAATTACAATGAAATGACATATTAATCATTTATATAAAAAATGTTTTCTCTACTGATTCAGTTAGTGGCATACATTCTGATACGAAATGCGTACATTCAAATATGATTTAGGGAGAGTGTTTAAAAAAATATATTCACATAAAACACTTCCTCAACTTTTATTGTATATTATATATAAAATAATATTTAGTTTTAATTACTACCTTTTGTATGATTTCAAACTACGCATAAATGTTTATAATTACTATATCAAATAAAATGCTTTGAATACCTCAATCATTGTCGAATAGTTATTATTAAATATGATAATAACAACAAAAAGTAGTCATAATAATTGGACAATATAGACTATTTGGTATGTGTCTATGCTGCAATCGTTATCTTTTTTTCATCTTTGATAAATGATATTTCATTTCCGTGTATACATTAAATGTTATAAATGGGTATATTTAAAAATCTTGTAGATAAACAAGAATATAAAATAATCAAGTCTATTGAATGAATATAATTTTATATTTTTATGTTTAAAAATGGTATGAATAATGCATTGTTAACAAAACACTAAGTAATTAGTACTTATTATATATTAATATTATAATATAAATCAATTGATAACATTAAATTATCATATTCGAATACTTAAATTTAAGAGCGTAACAATGAATTATGTAATATTAAAAAAAACTACTAAAAAAAGTTATTTGGCTCTGGAGGAATTTGAAAATGAAACCTCCCCGTATGTATGCCACTGATTTTCAATAAGAAAGTCAATTGGTTATATTATAAAAATATAACCGATTTTTTACTTAGCAATATTAATGAAACTCAAAAATTAATCTTACTTGTATGATTTAATAGGAATGTCAATTCTTTGCTTTACATTATTTAGCATAGATAGCCACGTTTTTTCGGGAAATTTGAGCATTCAGAAAATACTTGTATATAAGTTGTATGTTAATTAATTAATGATAACTGTTCGGAACAATAGGAGCCAAAAATATCAAAAACGTATTAATCTATACTTTATTACAACTTTCAATGAAAAAAGTATTATTATGAAATAAAATTGATTAGAATATAATTTGAAAACATAAAAGAACTATCAAGTTTTAATTTATACTAATATTTGACAAATGTGATTTAAAATAAAGCTAAATGTTCACTGCAAAAATATTTTATTGTAAATATCGAGTAAAATTGTTAGGGGTTATTCGTAGGGATGAAAAGTACAGATAATCTTATTTAATTAAAATATTAATATTAATTATAANTAGGGGTTAGTCGTAGGGATGAAAAGTACAGATAATCTTATTTAATTAAAATATTAATATTAATTATAATAATATTATATATTTAAACCCATGTATTGAAACTCAAATATTTTAAGAATATTTCATTAAATACATATTCAATTATACTAAATATAAATTGATACAGTAATAAATCCAATTGTTTCATTATCCTCGAGAATAATGATAATATTTTGATTTTTAATTACTTTACTAAAAAATGAATTAACTTAAATTATATTGGTAGACTCGTGAATTAAAATAGTCTAATAATTACATAAAATGACCAATAATGTTTATTAAGTAAATGATGTAAACATTAAATAAATAAAAAATACTCACCAAAACAGGCTTGTGTACAGCAACAATGTCGGGTACAGAATATCAGTTGATTTTGACGGTTGGCGGCGCCGAAGTCTACGATGTAATATATTGTTATTAGTTTGACCTACAGGGTGAATTAGTAAGTGTCGACATTTCATGTCAAAATTGAATTTTTTTTGATATAAAATTGGTGGATTTACTCATACACCAATGTTTACTCCTAGTTTATATCATAAATAATACAGCCAGAATATATTATTCTGTAAATGTAACATTTTTTAAATTTTCAAACAATTTTTTAACTATCTAGGAGAAAGAATTATTAAATAAATGTATTAACCAAGCTCTTGTTCGAAATCATCCCCGAGCGGACGTAGGGGTCACGCCTTTTAACTATTTATTCGTTTTAATTGAGGTTTTTTAAGTAATGAAAATACTACAGAAAAAAAAGTTAAAGCTACATAATTTTTTACCCCTCCTAATTTTTAGGTTCAAATGGGGACTGCTCGTTTTATTTTATTTACAATGCAATCAATATTGTATTTCGATGGTTCATCACAAACCTAATAACTATTTTATGTTCAATAACTCATTCCATGACACTACAAGACACCCTATATAAGGGTATACATGCTTATACATATACGAGAGCACCAAAAGGAACAACAACATTACTGTAAGACGTAAAAAAGACCAACTGTTGTTATTAGTATCTGCGGGGGTGGAGAATTTCATGGAAGAATAATTTCTATTTAATGTACATGAAGTCGGATTTTTATTAATTGTTGTCAACACTTGCTAAGCATTTTATAATATTAATAATTATAATTACCCGAAGTAATTATTTTATTTTAGTTTAGCAAACAAACAATATATATTATTCAATGGATATTTTTATGACATTCTCGAAGAAGAAACTATCAGATCCTATATTCATCTCTCCTAAAAGTGGAATAACGTTTCCAAAACAAGTAGACATAGTACAATTCTTCATAATTTTCATGCACAATATTACTCTAGTTACCTATATTTAACCTTTAAATATTTTTTAACTTTATTTTTCTATAAACTTATACGATATTCACGAACATTATAATGCTTGAATAATAACAATTTTGAAAAAGATTAGCAAAAAAAATTATGTTTATATAAAAATGCTGCCCTTGTCGTTTACACACATGATGATTTCTAATTTTCAGATTTTAAAACAATACCTTTAAAGTACTGGATTAAAATTTTGATTGGTAATTATAGCTTTATAAATGCGACAAAATAATCTATATTATTCACATATAGATTATATATATATAGAGCACATATAGAGCGAAACTAAGTTTTTTTGGGGAGGAAGCGCAAGATATATTATTGTTAATACTATATTTATCGGGTACCAAATTGTTGATATCGTAAAAAAATTGTACATTTTTGAAATTGGTCAAATTTTTAAATTAGTGTGCGTGCCCATATCTAGACAAATTTTGGTGGCATAAGTGGTTTATTGTAAAATATTTTCCATGAAAAATTATTCCTAAATTTAATTTGTTCTAGAAATAAATATACTACGATTATCAATTTCTTGTAAGATTTTTATGGGTTTAGTTTATAAATAAATTTGTTTAGTGGTGACCTTTCATCTGTGAAATCCAAATAACTAATACGAAACTATATAAAAGAATAATACAATTATAATTGAAGACCTTTTCATAATGACTTTTCAAACTATAATCATCCATCAGACTTCACTAAACTTGTTTAAGTTAGGTGGCGATTTTAAAATTGATCTAAATTTAGCTTTACACTTTACTTGAGGTTTTTAATTAAAAATTGTTAAATCGGTATTTATACATTTTATCCCTTTTCAATTTTTAATCTCTGTGCAGTAGCACTGTTAAGTAATATAATATTTTTCTTAATATAAATTTTGGTTTTCTTAACAATTTATTTTAATATATATTTTAAATACATGGACAATTTGAGTAATGATTTTATTTATTAATTAAAATAATATTGGTATCCTTGGAACAATCAGGTTTTGTTACAATTAAAAAATACAGATGGAAAATACACAATGATTGGTTACAATAAAAAAATTATAATTATACAATAATAAGTCATTAAAATAAATTTTATTTTTTTCCGATTAAGTTTCATGAATCTAGAATTTATCAATTAGATGCCTGTTCATTATTATCATATCGAATTTGACCATTGTTCAATGTAGTAATACCTAATCCATATAAATGACCACAGTATTTTTTACTATCAATCATTCCTTCAAAGTACATATCTCTAATTTTAAAAAAAGCCATGCCAGTCAACAATGAATCACTACCAGCTTGATGTTGGGGGCCTATTCTTTTTAGCTCCAACTGATCAGCAACTTCTTGTAAACCACCTTTTAAATTTTTGCAACTTTTCATTAAATACTTAATGTCATAAACACATGGGAAATACAATGAGAACATATCAAAAAACTCAGATTCTTCTTGAGGTAATTTCTCATCAGTCAGTACTTTGACTAGATATCCAAAATCAAAACTGCTATGGAATGTCATCCATTTAATATTATCCATCAGCACTAAACCTGATGTAATTATATATTCAGCAAAAACCAATGGTTCAATACCATGCTCTTCATGTTTCTTAAATTGAATTCTAAAATATAAAGTAAATTCTACAACTAAAATACAAATAAATTTTTAATTAAAATATTCATTACCTGGAATTAGTTAATAATTCTATACTGTCTTGAGCATACATATCTTCTGATAAATTGAACTTAAAATTGAATTGCCATGTTGTATATGGACCTGTAGGAGTCTTACCATCTTCATCAAAAAAAGAAAGCCCTAGTTGAATAATTCGCAGTAAATCTACATTACAACGAAGTAGCTGGTATAAATAATCAGCAGTAGTTTTGAAATCACCAATTGGGCGGGCAACAACTCCAGGAAATTCAGTATCCATAGCTACATAACAATATTTTGGCAACAATTTCCGTATTGAGGCAAATTCTTCTTCTAGATTATGGGCCCAAACATCTTTGATCCCACAATCAGATCCTATTCCTGGTTTGTTGTCAGAATCTCGCTCTTTTATTTCTTTTATGGGAGTTTGACTATTTGCAGGCATATTGCTAACAATCTTTTTTCCTAAATTGTCTATAACGTATGAAGCCCAATTGGGATTATTTTCGTTAGAAATAGTTAAAATATTATCATTGCTTTCTAAATCAGATGACTGGTCAACAAATAATGTTCGCCTAACTGTATTACGTGCTTCTGAATTAAATTCTGTTTGTTGTTCTTCTCTATTTTTCGCCCAGATTGTTTTTAACTGTCTTAAATTCTCAATTGTATCATCAACAGTTGCACTTTTCATTGGAATTGTTTTAACTCAAAATATGACCCAATAAGTCAAATAGTAGTTTCAGTGAGTAAGACTAAAAAATAAAATTAAAAATTCTATTTCTATTTTATTTATTGAATATTTGTTATTCTTAAATTAAGATATCTGTTTATGAAATAACATATGTAAAAAATTTTATGTAAATATGATAGTCTAAATTTGTAATATATATAAATTAATAAAAGATAAAATTAAGAGTCAATGAAGCAGAAATTAAAGAGTCTTTTACCATTCACAACTCTCAAAAAAGGTTTCTGTTAAAATTTGTTCAAAATTTAGACATTTTATAGATACACGAAACACTACAAATTAGTGATGGAAATAATCTCAACTATCTAGATATGGGAATGTTCATATTTTGAAATCAAATGTTTATTTACCCGAACTATTTTGAATATCAACGGTTTCATATAAAAAATCCAGTTCTTAGTTTGATATTATAAATTATTTTTTTATTGTATATAATTAATAAATTTAAATAACAACTATAACCATTATATTTGTACAATAAAATTAACAATTAATCTATTATAAATCACGAAAGTTATTATTTTTTACTTCTTCTATTCATTTAAATTACATAATATTTATTCAATTTCAATATTATTGTTTGTTAAAATTTTAAGTTAAAATCTATTTTTTGATATCCACAGATCCGAACGATAAATAAACATTGAATGATATGGATCTGGGGTCCAGATTACCTGGATTTCTTTTAAATCTGGATCAATATTTTATTCCTATTAACAATGTTGTAGCATAAATAAACTTCTTTGTATGTTTCTACTTAAATTCCACAGCCTTATCATGACAAATTTAAATATCAAAGTCATTAAACAATCAATAAATTACAACACTGGTTATATTATTACATAATACAATTTAATACACAAATTTAAATTATTTTAAGAGAAACGGTCATACATTGAAGTAAGTTTTAAAAAAACTGAAAACTAAAGCATATAAAGCATAACACTTAATGTAAGAATATACAAAGTTATCGCTAACTATGTCTCATATAATATTTTTAAAAATACAAGTGTTCTAAACAATTTTTTTTTAAAATTATTATGGATCTATGAGCTGTTTCAAAAGAAAAATTAGATTTCTATCATCATCCCTTATACTTAGAACTTGTAACAACTTTAAGAGATTTTCAAATGGCAACTCCATATTATTTTTATATATTTTTGTTTTCCATGAAAAAAAAAAAAAAAATTATGAATTTTAAACAAGATACGCTACTTTAAAATTTACGATATTTGATGAAAAAATTCAGTTGTTTTTCCAACACAGTCACATTACTATTTTATGTATCAATAAAAGCTACCGGTTTACTGTGTCAATGCACGTAGTCCGAATAACTAAGGTAAGCTTGGTATAATTTATTATAAAACTGGTAACGCTTATCGATTAATGACCTATAACATTCGAGTCTGTTATAATTTTTTCTTAAACCCTAAACTTTAGAGAGCTATGGAGCACTTAATATTAAATAAAATAAAATATTTTTTTAAAAAAACATTGTTTTTTATTAAACTTAATTTAATGGTGTAAAAAAAAATTGGTTGCCATTTGAAAATATAAAGTTGATACAAGTTTTAAGCATAAGGGATTATGGTAAAAATTTAAATTTTCTTATGAAACACCTCATCAAAGATCCATGATTAAAAAAAAATTATTTATAACACTTGTGTTTTTAAAGATATTACATGAGACATAGTTAGCCGATCACCCTGTATATTAAATATCTATGTTTTCAAAACCTGATAATTAAAAAAAAAATTATGTATTAAATAGATAAAACATGACCTACTAATCCAAATGTTTTTTTAAAGGTGAAATTCCTTTAATTTAATACCAATAAAAAGATATTTAAATTTAATTTGTCTATTTAAGGAAAAGAGTTCTAAAATAATAATACTTATTTAATCGAATAAACCTTAAATATAACACTCAATAGTTTTATAGTATCAAGACATAAAAATGTATAAAACTTACATAATATGTAAATTTTATAGATTTTTTTAGTAAACCGCATATTATGTTGTTTCTTAAAAATGTATTGTATTCTGGATATATTTTATTTATAAATTAATTATAGAAATAAACTAATGAAATTACTACTTCAGAAATTCATATAAGCTTTTACTTGACAAAATAGAATAATTAAAGGTAACTATATTTCAAGTTTAAATAATAATGGATTACCTATTATAAAAGCATATTTTTGAAACTATTCTTAGTTTTTGAGTTTTTTTTCTTACGTTTGATTTGATACAAAACTTTTGTTTATATCTAAAATAAATATTAACTAAATTAGATTTTTTGTGTAAATTTAAGCATTTATAACTTAAACATTACATTAAATAAATTACTAGAATAAATATCTCAATTAACCAACTAACATTATTAAAATTAAAATACCAAAGTTAGACAATAAAAATTCGATTTTTCTTCTGTAATTTGAGCATTAAACAATATAATAGAAAACTAAACTACTTAAACTAATAGAATTTTATGGCCACACAACCAAAAAAAATATCTTATCCTTTGAGTGTAAATCTGAGATAAGAACTTAGTACTTACTAATACGAGACGACTTTGATCAAAATAAAATGGCGTAAAGTATTAAAAATTAAAAAGTACCTATAGAAAGAACTCAAAACAATTAAAAACTAAATTTTAAATTAAAATAGTTAACTTTTTGTTCAAATTATTGCGATTTCTGTAAAATCAAAACAATGATTATAACACTGATAACAAATATGCATAGATTTATCCATGCATAAATTTTAATGTTACATTCCATGAAATTAATTTTTGACATAATTTTAGAGATCTATATTTTGTATTGGCGATTCTTTTATATTTTACAAAAATGTTTTGTTTTTAATTATCAACATATTTATTTATTTTAATGTAATAAATAAACAGTTTGTCTTACCATGTTAGAATTCTAACATAAAACATTATAAATCAATATTAAAAAGCGTCATAGACAGAATGAGCGTGAATTCAAATAGAAGGATAGGTCTCCAGAAGCCTTATGGCATTATATTAGTTTATAATTCGTTGTATATGAAATATTTTTATCACCAAACATTATTTATCCACCTTTACTTAAATAAATTTTGAATATTAAGCAAATACATATATTTTCCTTTAAATCATACTCCAAATCATAAAAATTATTTCTATCACTTGTTAAATGTGTTAGTTATTTGTATAAAATACAAATAACTAACACATTTCATCACGTTTTTAGAATATGACAGTCTATTAAGACTAAAAAAAGGTGTCATTGGATTGAACTTATTAAACTTAAATAAAATCAGTATTCAGGGGATTCGAAATTGAAAGAAAGATTTTAACAGTCGACATTATACTTTTCTTCTTTTAGCAATGGTTTAAGTAATTATGTAACATACATGTTATGTTATTACATAATTTTTACTAATTTTTTTTTTTCAAACTAAAACCAGTAGATAATTATTCAGCAATGCCAAAATTTATGTCAAATATCTTTTATAGGTTAGATGAGTTAGTAAAATAAAAATTTTTTTTTGAATAAGTAAGAACAATTTAATATTAATTAAAAATTTAGTAGATACTACAATAATTATTTAACTAATTACTAAAATGTGCAATAAACATTATTATACAACTAAAATTTAATTTACATTTAACATTAATTTAACACAAATTAATTTAAAGTCCAAGAACAACATTCAATAAAATGTAAAAAATAAAAACATGTTAAATGAACACAGACTAGCTTTCGTTTAAATAAGTTAGTGAAAATATACAAAGCAAAATAAGGAGGAACAACACAAAACAGGGAAATTTAAAGACATATATACTTCAATCCAATACACTTTTAATCATCAGCCTAATTTTAATATGTACAAATGAAAAACAATAATTTCAATAATAACTGTTTTGTTTGTTTTGTACAAAGTATTTTTAAAACAATACTTTTTGCTTTTTATTGCTTACGACCAGATTTTACAAATTATAAGAATATTATTTAAAGGTATAATATAGACTATGAATAAAACTCATAAAAAAATTAATAAATTTTTTTTTTACTTATAATTCTGATCTGTTCCATAAGCTACATCTACTATTAGAGAAAATAAATAAATACAACTAAGAATTAAATTACCAGAAATAAAAATAATAATTTAGTCGTATAATAAAGAAAGTGCTAGTCCTACAATTAACAAACCACAGTATAATGTAAAAATTAAAAATTTATTACAACAGTCTAGCATAATACTTGAAAAGAAAAAATAGAACAAATAAATATTAACCGAGAATCATTTATAAACTAATTTCTTTTAAGAACATATTCTTTAATAAATATTTAAATGGGCATTTCAAATTTTACTCCTAAATGTTGTTCCCGCGCCAAATTAACAATTTCTGATAACTTAACAGCTAAACGTGCTGCTTCATCAAGATTATCAACAGGTAAAATTTTCATCCCAGAACGAGCTATAAGAAGTTTAGCTTCATCAACATTAGTTCCCTGTAATCAATTTCAAGCAATTCAAATTATAATTATTAATGGTAAAAAATTTAATTAATTATAAATTTTCTTATATTATTTTAAAAGAAGTTGTGTAGAACCTTTTGAGTATAGGATAAGCTAAAATTACTGTAAATCTAAATGATTTAAACTTATATAAAAATTGCATAGTATTTCAGTACACAAAGTAATTCTCAATGAAGCATTACAGTATTTAATTTTTTTTTATTTAGTTCAATGTTTTATGAAATTTTGAAATTAACACCTTAGGGTTACTTCAAAAACCAAATATGTGAAAATATTTCTTACAGAATTTTCATATAAATTAGGGATCACTCAATTTTATTTTTCTGAATATTAATCAAGTAAATTAGCAAAACCACTAAATACTAAATACACATTTACTATATTTTTAATTAAAAATTTTATTGGTTATAACAAATTTAATAACAATATATAAAAGTATAAAAAAAATTTACCACAATACTCCAATTAAAATTTACATACAATCTGATGTCACTCAAAAAAGATCTTTTCTTACTTAAAGTGATTTTTTATGAAAAATAACAATTAAGAAGTATCATTTCATTAGGTTTAAAGAATTTATTCAAATAATGAAATAACATTAAAAACAGTCTCTAAATTTGTAGATTTTCCAGATAAAATGAAATAATGTATCTTATTCCAAACTTGAATATCATTATTATCAATGAATTTGGTTTAAAAAAAATGTTTACTTATAAATGTTTAGTCATCCCCTATAAAAAAAACCTGAGTGTGTTAAAGAAGACAAGAAATCTTGTACAGCTTGGGGAATAAAGTCAAACTGTGATTCCTACACATAAAATAAGTATAACATATTCCCGACCATACATTACAATAGTTTAATTTATTTTTATTTTTTTTGCTTTTGTAGATCCTATTATAGAGATTAAAAATATATATTTACTTGTAAACGACAAATAATTGGTACATTAAGATTTAATTCTTGAGCTGCAGCAATTATACCTTCAGCAATAATGTCACACCTCATTATTCCTCCAAAAATATTAACCATAATAGCACAAACCTATTACAATATAATTGTATTAATAAGTAATAAGTATTTATTTCAATAATAATTATTAAAACCTTTGGGTCTGAGGTGATAATTTTAAAAGCTTCTTTTACTTGGCTAGCAGTAGCACCACCGCCAACATCCAAGAAATTAGCTGGATTTCCACCATGTAAATTAATTATATCCATTGTTGCCATTGCTAAACCAGCACCATTAACCAGACATCCAATAGTTCCTAATTATTCAATAATGATTTTCATTTATAACAATTACTTTTTAAAAACAACTAATTTTTTTTATTTACTAACCATCAAGAGCAATGTAGTTTAAATTAAACTTTGATGCTTCTACCTCTTTTTCATCTTCTTGAGTCCAATCACGTAAATCGAATAATTCTTTTTGCCTGAACTCAGCATTATCATCAAATCGAAATTTAGCATCCAAACAATAATCTAAAAGAAACAATTTTTGAATAAAAAAATTTATAAACAATATATACAATATTTACATCCACCAGAAGAAATGCTCTCAGCATATGGATTTACTTCAATAAGAAGTGCATCTTTCTCAAGGAAAAGATCATATAATTTTAATAAGATATCTGCAGTTTCTTCTTTTTTCTTAGACAATCCTACTTTGGCAACAACATCCAAAGCTAATTCTTTTGAAATACCTGTTACAGACATTTCTTTTTTTAATAATGTTTCATAATATGATTACTGTGAATATTAAAGTAAAATTCTTATGGTTTTTGACATTTTTTTTTTTTATGTAATTACATACTACATCCACAATTTTAGTAGCATGGATATTAATTTAAAGCACATTTGAATTACTATTAGACAATATTTGTTAATTTAAATAAAAATACTTTTATGTTAACTTAACCAAATATAAAAATATATATATACAGTTTTCCACCACGATCATTCTTAATAACTTTTAATACATTAAATACTTTGCATTAATTTTTATTTTAACAATTTTGATAGTTTTAAATTACGTTAAATGCATATTTTATATTATTTGCCTCTTATATAAAAAAATAATAATAATTAAGATTATTATATATTTTCAAAATTTTAAAATAAACATTTTTTACAAAAAAAATTTGATGGGTCAATTACGAATAATTACTTATAGAGTTACAAACATTTTAATACATAGAGAGGATATAGCTCTTATATTTATAATGCATATGCTTTTAACGTATTTCAAAACTTTCTCTATACAAATGATAAAAAACCATTTTTGTTACTTATTTGCTTTTGGATATAAGACACAGAATTATTTTTATTATTTTAAAATAATAATTATAAATAGTTATTAAAAAATTATTTATATATTTTATACCTTTTGTAATATCTATAGGCATATAAAATATAGCATTTGGATTTTCCGCAGCAACTTTTTCAATATTTACACCTCCTTGTGAAGATGCTATTAAAACAGGACCCTTAAAAATTTAACATTTAATAATTAAATACCACTGGAAAAAATGTTATTAATTAAATTTATTTGATTTCACAGACTATTTACTAAATTAATTTTTTAAGTAAAAGTTATAAAGAAATTCTTTTTATAAATTTATAAAACAAAATTATAATTGTCATAATTAGGAACACTTAACATTGATTAAGTTTATATAATGATTGCAATAGATTGAAAGGATGTGAATACCAAAACATACAATTTTACTTTTAAAGTAATCATTACAATTCATAATTATAGCACCCATCATAATTGTTTACTTACTTTGCTAAAGCTTCATCTGAATATTTATAGTATCCTCATGTAATTCCACCACAGTAGTATAATCATATAACAATTTATTAAGTCAAAAATAATTAATACCTTTTTAGTTTTTTTATTATAAAATATTATGTTTACACAACATTGGAGACTAATTTTTGAAAAATGGATGAATCAAAATACAAAATTTTTTTTTTATATTTTAGGTATTTCCCTATCAATAGGTATATATATTTTTTTAAATCTAACCCTTTACCTACCTAATTATTCAATTTTGGTAGACAACTTTAAAGGCTTTGATGTTTATGATTTCTTGATTATCATATATCTTATTCATAGATTGCAAGAAGTTAAAATAGATTAGGTTTACATCTAATATAATAATTGTAACTTTGAGGTGCCCTCCTTAGCGGGTCACTGGTCTCGTCGTTACTTTTATAAAAGATATATATTCAATATTTGTTATTATAAATGCTTTCTCTCTGTGCTTATATGATGTGGTAGATCATGTCAAGTGGAAGTTTAGGATAAAAGTGACCAACCCCAAATAGTTGAGATAATAAACAAAAAAAAAGGAGAAAAAATGCATTCTCTTTGTTGATGATCTCAAATTATATTTTTCTATTTAAATTCTTGATGATTTTGTTAAAATGCAGTTTGATTTGGATAGTAATTTAATTGGTGTCAAAATAATGGTTTAACTATTAATACAAGTTACATTTACTCAGATGAAGATTAAATATATTAAATATCAATATCAATTAATTACTGTTATTTAAATAACAGTTGTTCATCACTTTTTAGATCTTGGTGTTTTTTTTTCGAGTAATTAATTTTTTTCTAAACACAGATCATTTATTTTTAATAATATTTCACATACTCTTGGGTTTTTAAGACATAATTGTGGTATAATAAATAATATTAATTGTTTAAAAACTTAATATAATGCACTGGTAAGGTTCATTCTTGATTATGCATCAATTATATGATCACCAGTATACTAAATAGAATCAATTCAAAATCATTCTTTACGCATGATAAATTAAAAATCAAAAAACTACAAATACATCAAAAGATAAGTTGCTCAAACATTTGAATATGTCTTCTCTTTCTTGAAGGAAAAAGTTTATTAACGTATGCTGGATTTTTAACTTGCTAATAATGGATTGTCCAGAATTATTATGTTTGATAACATCTAATGCTAATCTCCATATTCAATCTACATTTTATACTTCGTTTCAAAGACAAAATTATAATTTTTTATCTCTGATCAATAGTATGTTGAACACATTTAAAAAATTTTGGTTTTTTTCTATGTGAAATAGTTCAGTTTAATTGTAATGTTACTTAAGTAATTATTTTTTTATAATTATAAATTTTCATTGTTTTTATACATATTTTTAATTTAAATTGTAATGTTTTTGTATTAATTATTCATGTTGTACTATTTTACTCATTTAAAAATGAAATAAAAGTAAATAAATAATATAATTCGGTAGGAAGTGCACACAATGATCTGGATGAGCTATTCATCCCCACCTCTCTAACAACTAAAACTGCTTTTCTGAAGATCAGTTATAATTAGTTAAAAATCAAATTTTCCAGTTTTTCTAATCAAAACTGATTTCAGAAATCAAAACTGAAATTGAAACCACGAAAGTATCAAACAGTTTCAGTCCTTGCTTTCTAGGGCAGAGTTTCTCAAAGTGTGGTCTGCGAGCCCATATCAGGATTAGGTCTTCAAAACTGTAGGTCTTTAGATGGGGGTCCGTGATTCATTTGACTTTGAGAACCTCTGTTCTAGGGTACTATTACTTTCAGACTGACACCTTAAATTAACATAGGCACATTTTTCTATATTTAAAAAAAGATGCCATAATTATAAATTATGTTTGTCAAAAAAAGATTTGGTATTAAAATTTAAGTTAATATGTCCTAATTTAATTAAAATAAAAAAATAGTTATATAAAACTTTAGTTTAATTAATTTTAGAGTACATGCATCCTTTCAACCAAAATACATAAATTTAACACTTAGAAAAATAATGTTACCCCAAAAGCTCTTTCCATCATTACAGCAAAATAAAATTCTTTTCTTGCATAAATACGTTCAGCTACCATCACAGTATTGCAAATTCGACCTTTTTCACCTGTCTGTTTTGTAATCAAATAATCTCCTAACATTTGACTAGATATTTGATCAGCTTCTTCAGCACTAAATTATTTATACTTATTAAAACACTGATTATTAAGTTTATTTTATAGTTTTAAAAAAATTATTATTTAACTTGATAAAAATTAATTTTTTTAAGATAAATAAAATGTCTCTAATAAAATATATTACTATTTTAGTATCAACTAAAAAATGTTTAGATATGAGTATTAATTTTATATCATAAATTATTATGATTTAATTCTGTAAATATTATATGAATGGAACATTAATTTCTTGTTGATTTTTCACTTATTACCAAGACCGAATTAAGATATTGTGGGGCTCCTAAATTAGAGACATCATTTAAACTTCACTTCGAAGTAAATATCTAAAGCCTGAAGTTTTTAAACTCTTCTCTTTTGTGTCTCTTTAATCTGGACCTTATAATCTTTATAAAAAAATTTTAGAATAAAAATTATAGTAAGACTAATTTAGGAATAATTTAATATGCAAAAAATGTTGTATTTTTCAATAATTATGTTCACAATTATAATAATCGATTATGATTATATTAATAACTATTTAAGAAAGAAGGTTTTCATTACAGTACTTACCTTTCAACCATTTTAACACCACCCTTAAAGCCTTTTTTAAAATGACCTAATCCACGTCCACCAGCTAATACTTGTGCTTTGATAGCTATATCAGTTAATCCTAAATTGTTCACAATATCAGCTGCTTCTTTACCAGTTTTTGCTACACCAAATTTTGGAACTGGTATGCCAGCCCCTTTTAAGAGTGAATAACTTACATGTTCATGAACATTAAGATGACGACAAGGTTGCTTGCCTTTCCATTGTGGACTTGCTTGCAATGAAACAGCAAAAAGCTGTAGAAAAATATTATAAGAATAAATATTAATCAACACACACAGATAACTAAATAAATTAACAAAGGAATAATTCACCTTTGGACTAGTTTTTCCTATTGTTTCTAGAACATAAGAACTCTTGGTAACTAAATTGCTCATATTTTTATTCCTAAATAACAAGTTTTATAAAACGTCTGAAATACTGTTCAATAGAATATATGTTAAAGTATAGTCTAATTCTTGCCCTTCAGAGAATTAAAATTTGAAAAATTTTGTCATTGATAGCCCAGCAGAGAATTCTGTCACTAATGATAAGATATCATGAAATATACCAGTATGAGTCACCAGTCATCCGGACACTGATTACCAACATTACATTAGTCAAGTAGGTGCGTTATAAGAGCGGGAAATTAGAATAGGCGTAACTTAGTAATTAGAATAACATATTCTGCTAAAAGAAATATAATATAAATCGATAATTGATAATATTTAGTAACAAATACACCGTTATCAAACATTATATGATATATAAGTGTTCAGTAAGTAAGGAAACGTGTTTCTATTGTTCTCATTGTTTGTAAAAATTAACCTATTTCCTAACATACTGAACACTATATATTATTGAGTAAATAAATCAGTCATCAAATTAAAACAATGAAATATAATTACAGATATGTAAAAAAAAATTTATTAATAATAGAAAATGGATTCAAAATGACAACTTCATCACAAAAAATTAACTTCTTCAACTTAACTTTTGAAAGTGTTCCGGAAATACAGACACTTTTATATATATATATATATATATATATCTTAAATGTAATGCTTATGTAATGTACTTTATTATGGAAAAAAAAAAAATTTCCAACTTTATTTTGTTTTTATGGTAAAAATGTCTACCGTATTCTACATTTTGTGTTAAAATTTTTGATTTTGTATTTTATTTTATTTTAAAATACCTCACAATAGTTTTTGAGTTAGGAAACAATTTTTAAATCATTTGAATTTTATGAAATTTTTTTGCGGACCATTTATTTATAATTAACAACAAATTATTATCTAAAAAGTTTTGCGTCAAGTCCTTCAATTTTTTTCACGTTTACCATAAAAGTAATAACTGCTTAATAATTTTTTATAAATTCTTCAAAAAAATTACNTTTACCATAAAAGTAATAACTGCTTAATAATTTTTTATAAATTCTTCAAAAAAATTACAATATTAAATTATTAAATATCAATTTCATACTACGTTGAATTGCTTAAATAGATATTTATTCATAAATTATACTTATAAATCAACTACTAATTAGAAATAATGATAGAGATGGGAGTTAATTTTGCTTTTAGAATAATCAACAAATTTCTTAAAATTAAAGACTATCTACAGATTTTCATCGAAGCCTTTTTTATGATAACAATGCACAGATATAAGAAAAATGAATAAGCAAAAAAGAGGATCAGGAAAATGTAGTACAAGTTATCAATGATCATGATCAAAATGAAGTCTAAACCGTAGTCAATAAATGATCTTCACCCATTGCTTGATTGCCATGTCCAACTAGTGAAAATTCATTAGCCATAGTAATTTGAATAACACAAACAAAAATAACATATAGATGGCTATATAGAAAAATTGTAATTATTGACGAATTACATTTGATAAAAACACGGTCCCGAAGAACTTCCAAAAGTTGTTATCGATCAATAATTTTCTTGATTAGATAGTTTTTTATTTTATCAACTAGTTAAATATGTGTATTACCATTTAAAAAAAAAAAACCCAGCAAAGGGGGGTCGCGGCACAGTGGTGACGTGGCATAGTTGGATCAAGTATAATGATATCTGACAGTGATTAAAATCACTATCAAAAAAAAAAACGCTTCGATGCAAATCTTTAGATAGTGTTTAATTTAAAAAAATTGGTGTATTATTCCAAAAGCTACATGATCTGCTAGTTCCTTATTAATATCCTGATTAAGATAAAGTATGTCGAATGAAAAAGAGATTATAAAAACTTGTATTCATCCATACGCTTTTTAATAAGTTATAGCAGTGTAAAGTTAAAAATGTAAAAAATAAAATCGAGAATTTTCACACAAAAATAGCATTTGGTAGCCATTTTCACCATGAAGGCAAGTCAGGAGGTCAAATTTTTTTTTTCCATAATAAAGTACATTACATACATACAAATCTTTAATATAAGATACATAAAAAAGTGTCAGACTTCCGGAACACTTTCAAAAGTTAAGTGTAAAAGTAAATTTTTTGTGAAAAAGTTGTCATTTTAAATCCCCCCCTGTGGGCAGGTTAAGTGTCAGATTTACAAAAATTATATGCTAAATGATAGGTAAAGATATCAAGCATCTATAAAAATTTTGTGATCCATACATTTTCCGAAAAGTTATAGCATTATTAAGTTAAAAATATAAAAAAAAATTATTTTACAAAAATCGTAATTTTTTATTAACTTTGATGTCAACTTTCACCACAAAGACAAGTCCAGAGGACAAATTTTTTTTTTCATAATAAAGTACATTTCATTACCTTTAATTTAAGATACATATAAAAGTGTCAGACCTTCCGGAACATTTTCAAAAATTAAGTTGAAAAAGTTCTACTTTCTATATGCATTTTTTATATTTGAAGCCCCCCCGTATATAGGGAAATGGTCTGAATTAAAAAAAATAGTATGTCAAATGAAAGATGTATATAAATACTACTTCTCATGAAAAAATTGTATTGATCCATACATTTTTTAAAAAGTTATAGCACTTTAAAGTAAAAAATGTAAATTATAAAATCGAAAATTTTCACACANAAAAAACGTTAGCACAGTGGGGCCGAGGCACAGTGTGGACGAGGCATAGATGGGACAAGTATAGATGATATCTGACAGTGATTAAAATCACTATCATAAGAAACGCTTCGATGCAAATCTGTAGATAGTGTTTCCTTTAGAGAAATTGGTGAAATATTTTAAAAGCAACATGAACTCTTATTTCTTTAATTATATCCTGATTAGTAGTTCTTTGATTTTAAAATATAATATATGAATAAATACTAATTATAGNAATATAATATATGAATAAATACTAATTATACTTTTTAAATTTAGTATGAAATTGTGAGGCCAGCTATGATGTATGGTTCATAGTGTTGAGTGGTTGATAAAAAAGTAGAGCAAAGAATAAGTGTAGCAGAGATGAGAATGCTTAGTTGGATGAGTGGAGTGACTAGAGAAGATAGGATAAGGAACGAGCATATAAGAGGAAGTATAGGTGTTGCGTCAATCGTGGATAAGATGACAGAAAATAGACTTAGATTGTTTAGTCATGGTATGAGGAAAGAAGAATTGTAAGCTGTAAGAACAGTTATAGATATGAATTTTGAAGTAAGAAGATGTAGAGGAAGATCAAAAAAGAGATGGAGGGATGCTATTGAATGCGATTTGAGGACAGCTGATGTGAGAGTAGAAGATGTGGGAGATCGTGTCAAGTGGAATCTTAGGATAAGGGTGCCCGACCCCAAGTAGTTGGGATTAAGGCAAAGAAAAAGAAAAATATTACCAGATATTCCGGTGGCAATTGACATAATATGATTGTTATTTCGGAATGTACAATTTAGCGTTTAGTTGGGTTTAAATAATATAGCGTCAAATCAATTACCTACTCTATCGGTTGTATCTCAATATACACTACACTTTAATGATACAATAAATAAATAAACTCACACATACACACATATGCATTTATAACATTGTGTCTAATGTAAGTATAACATGATAAAAAGTAACCGTAAAATGAAAAAAATGGAATATAAATTTTATTACTCATATTAAATGTAATGTAACTCGAAAAATATTTGTTTAAATGAAAAAATATAAGATTATATTTTTATTTATAATTGTCTTTTAAACAACTTTTGTGCGAAACTTTTTTTTGTAAGTTAAATATTTTTTTTTGAGAAAATTAAGAAAGCTCATATTTTTGAACTTTTGCGAGGATTTAAAAAAAAAGCTCAATTCCAATCTTGAGGACTATTAGTATGTCATTATACATATTTTAATTCAACTTTTAAAAAAACAAAATTTTTTCCGCAATTTTTCCTTTGTTGACAGGCCTAGATGTCAATTTTAAACTTGTAATTGAGCTAAAAGTTATGGTAATATATTCAATTTATTTTACTATAAACTTTCATAAATCTTTATCAAAAATTTTTCATCAACTTTAAAGAACCAAAAAAATAGGTTAAAATTGAAAATTTGGACTGATTATTTTTAACATATTAAAAATCAAATCAGTAATAATTTGAAAACAAATTTTTTTTTCTTTTAATTATTATTTTATATATATAATTAGTAATAATATAAAAAATTAGAAGTGATAGAAAAAGTCTACTTGGAGATTTGAAAACAAAGCGAAAAGTTGATTTAGAAAAGGATATTTTTGCTTCTGATGAAAGTTCCTTGTAGTCCAGTGCATTTTTTTATAGTAACAAACAGTTTTTATTAAAAATTATTGTATCAAGCCCTTTAAATTTTTAAACACATAAAAGTAAAGTAAAATATAACTTCTTTACTATTTTTATAATTTCTCCGTTTAAATTATATTATTAAATTATTGAATATCAATTTCATACTAAATTTAAAAACTATAATTAGTATTTATTCATATATTATATTTTAAAATAAAAGAACTACTAAGCAGGTTATAATTAAAGAAATAAGAGTTAATATTGCTTTTGGAATAATCCACCAATTTCCTACTTTAAAAAAAAAAAATTTGGTTGGGAATTTTTTCTGCTATTTGTCAAAATTACTCCTTCGTTGACTAAAATTAATCATTGAACAGAAAATTTTATGAGAATTAAAACAATGTTTAATGTATTAAGATAACCCAACCAATCAATACAATTTTTTCATGAGAAGTAGTATTTATATACATCTTTCATTCGACATACTTTATCTTAATCAGGATATTAACAAGGAACTAGCAGATCATGTAACTTTTGGAATAATCCACCAATTTTTTAAAATTAAACATTATTTAAAGATTTGCATCGAAGCGTTTTAGCTTCGATGCGAAGCTGAGAAGGTATTAATTTTACCATGATGTGTTTTTTTTTTTTTTTTGTCTGTTGCCACTTTTCCTCAGCTCTCACTGGACCGATTTCTTTCAACAATACATCAAAAGATCACAAATCGTATCTAGTTGAAGATATTACCCTTAAAAATTGAACAATTTTCCCTCGTTCCCCGCAAATGGGGGAAATATCCAAAAAAATTACAAATTTAAAAATCGACAAATTTTGTCATTTT